GGTTCTCTGGGAATTTGTAACAGTGATCTGATTTAGTCAACCTAAACTTAAAAGTTACGTTTATTTAACTTCAAATTTAAAAAGTGTGCTGTGTAAATTTTACATGCTGAATAACTATCTAAAGAATTTTTCCAGCAACCAAGCATTTGAAATGAATGTTGATTAGGAGAGAAAAATAAATAAAATCCACTTAATAAAACATTTTATGATGGGACAATTGAAAACATGCAGTTCCATACACGGTTTAATGTTTTAAGTAATAGAGTGTTTAACATTAATTTTATCAAGTCCTAAAATTTAACCACTTATATTTGGAAAAAGTTGCAACTATATTGAAATCGCACAATTCATTATGTTATTAGCTAATTTTATGGAACAGTGAATTTTTGGTAATCCATCTGGTGTCACTGATCAGCCTAAGTGCTGCAATCATTATGTTAAAAGGAGTGATGTGTAAAGCAGCCCCTGAGAGTTGAGAAGGCTTCTTCTTGGACCTGCAGACAGAAAGCAGAGGTGATCGTTGAGCTGCTGGTAGCCTTCCTCTGCTTATCTTAACTCTTTATCAGCTAGATGGCCCTGCTCTTTTCCCTCATGAATATATTGAGGGATATTAGGAGACAGAATATGAGCATAGGTAAACAATGAAGGAGGACTTATCTCTGCCTTATCTCCCTGGAAGCATTCAGAATTCCCAGCTGTCAGAGGCTCACTTGCATGGGGCTTCTTCTGGTGTGGTGAATGTAACACATAATTACCCTCTTTGATCAGATTGCTTTGGCTTGCTGTATTCTTGCATCTTGAATTGAATTGCAGGTTTTGTCTAAGTGCTGCCTCATCTGATATTTTCCCATATGAAGAATTCTCCCTATAGAAAAAAGCCATATACGAAGCTCCCTTTTGCTGTCAAATATTGACTTTAAGAGATTTTTTAGTGCTAAAAAATGCACCAAAATTACATGATTGCTCAAGTTAGTTAAGATTAGTGGTTAATGGTTAGTAGTTAAGATTTGTGCTGAATGTGCATTAATGATTCTGTATAAGCACAGGTCTGAGGCAGGGGTTTCCCCATTGCTGACTTGTTTCTACAGTGCTGGTGAACCCATATCTCTGCCCATCTTTAGCTCCTTCCCCTATGGAGAACCACTTCATATTTTAACTGCAGTAGAAACGCATTCATCATTAATGGGCCTAGGCTGCCACAGAAATAAATGAAGGGAAGCTATGTGTCTCTAAACACTTAGATGTGCACAAGTGAGTTGTAATTAATTGGTTGTGGTTTCTGATACGTGTAGATTCCTGCAGGCACCTCTTTTCCTTATACATTTACTTGGCAAATGGTGCTAAAGAAGGGTATCCAGGTTGCAATAGTTCCAGAGCGTTATGGTTTATCTGAGAAGCAGATAGGCTGGACAACTTTGGCTAGGAGGCTGGACAGTTTCTCTTAAAAAGGGCTGGTCCAATACATAATGCTGCAGTAGGCAGAATATAAATCTCCCCCCCCCCCAAGCCCCCGGTCATAATACCCAAGGCCAACACTTATTTTGACACCAGGCAGAAAATCCTACAAGTATTTCTTCCTCTCTCCCAGGCAGGAAATATACAATAATAAATTAAATCACTAGCAATTTTCTGCTCTTTCATTACACTGAAAATCACTTGCCTGAGCCATTTGTCTAATGGCAGGGGATGCCTTTCTTTAACACTGGTAAAGTCTGGATTCAAGCAGGATTGATGTTTCAGTATGTGCACAGTCTATGCAAGAGTACAGTTGAAGGTGTGGGAACCAGTAACTATACTTCATTCATCTGGGTAGCAGGTAAGGCTCTGCGGAACATGTGAATGTTGGCTCTTCTCCAGTGGCATGACTGTTCTTGTTCTCACCCCTAAACAGCGTCTCTCTCCTGACTGTGAAGATCAGATTCGAGTGATTATTGAGGAATCCGCTCTTGATTACCGGTTAGATCCTCAGTTGCAGATGCACTGTTCAGAAGAGGTGGGAGCTTTCAAATTCAATCCTCCTTCACACTATATATGTTGGCAAGTTCTCATGAGCTCCTGGTAGTACAGTTTGAACTATGGCGATCTTGATTGAATCCCCCAGTAGTTTCAAATCACCTTGTGGTTGTCATCTTTTGTGGCATTTGCAATTTGCAGAGAACGGATTTGCTCCAAGAGCTGCTTGTAGAGCAAAGCGTTATGGGAATCCAGCTTGGCATTTTACACAAAAATTGTTCATATTTCATATGGAATCGTCCTGTCCAGAGTTAAGTTGATATGTAAAGTTCCTCCCCTTGGTCCTTTCCATGCTATGAGGAATAGTGTGTGGGAGACTCCTTGTTTCATCGTAACTGATATTTAAGGACCTCTATTTAAGGACCTCTTTGAGGACAAGCCTCCCATGAATTTGGAAAGGAACAGGAAGCTTAAAAGCAGGAGTAGATGGCCCCTAATAGTATTGCCTTGCCGAGCAAAGACTATATGATAGAAGCATAGAATCCTGCTCTTGCAGGGTGGAGAGTAGGTGCTGCTTGTCACCTCTGCTCATTTCCAGAAATTGTTCCAGGCTCTGCCAGCTGGAATTTAGCTTAAGTCAGGGAATAGCTTCCAGCCTTGGCCTCAGGCAACATCCACAATAGAGGACCTCTGGATAATGTTGCTAATCCTCTGGGCTATGTTACACTGTAAGCCTTTCCTCAGCAATAAAGGGATAACATGTACTGAACCGGAAAGTAAGGTTGCATTTGTTTCCCTTGCCAGATTCCATGTTTTGGACCTTTTTGTCATATAAATTTGTTCTATCTCCCTCCAAAAGGAGGCTAATTTGTTGGCCTGTGGTACTATAACCTAATGTATTTTATGTTTTGAAAGATTTCTAGCTTGTGCGCCGAGGAAGCAGCAGCCCAGGAGCAGACAGGACAAGTGGAAGAATGCCTGAAAGTGAATCTGCTAAAGATCAAAGCAGACATGTGCAAGAAGGTAAAGAACTAGGTGTGCTTCTGTGCTAATGGCAAGGGGGAGAATGCTAGATTGTGTACAGCTCAGTCTGTTGGCATTCTCCTCACTTCGGAACTTCTTCGGCACTACAGCTCTGTTCTCTAGCTTGGATGTTCCAAGGATTCCTAGGGCTAGTTGTGATTTGCTTTCCCCTCTGTCACTGCTCCTCAGTACAATTCAGTCAGCCAAAGGAAGGCATCCATTAGTTCCCCTTTGCATTTTTCTGTTGCCACACTTCAGCACATCCCTTTCAAATTCCGACCCGGCAACAGTCATAAATGCCTTCATAACTTTGAGTAGACTACTATAAATGTGCTCCATTTGAAAGCAACTAGAGTCTTCCACACTGCAAAAAAAAAAATCTTACTTTATTTGAGAACTGCTCAGGGCTATAAAGCAGGGTTTAAGTATTCCAAGTATAATGAAGCAGCAGGAGGATGAGCAAGTTAAGATGAAATATGCAAATCATTATATTGAGGGTGCATTGCAATTTTCTGCTCTTCTAGGAGGTGCTCAACATGTTGAAGGAGAGTAAAGCTGATATCTTTGTTGACCCCGTCCTTCATACGGCCTGTGCCCTTGACATCAAGCACCACTGTGCTGCCATCCCACCAGGAAGAGGACGACGTAAGTCTTACAGCTTGCTAAGAAGCCCAGGAAGCATCTCTGCCACCAGTAGTGCTACTTCCACAGATTCAATCGTTTTTAATCTTCTGTTCCTGCCCTTGGTATTGAACAAGTCTAGGCACAATTGCACTCTAAACAACTTGCTTAGGATATATTTGTACACTTCCTAGAGATGTGAAGGACTAGTGGATAGAATCCCCCCACCAGTGGTAAAAATCAATATACTTGGGGGGGAAACAGAGGAACTTTCATACAACTTTCAGCATCATTGTTTAGATTAATGAGTAAAATCCTTTCTAAGCAATACGTATTTTCTAAAATATATATAAAAATATGTTAAACACTGGGGTCACCAATGTGGTGCCCGCATGCACCCCTGATGATTTTGCCTGGTGCCCATGAAATCTCTGAGCCCCCCAGTGCTCTCCCCCCGCATGAAGTGGTGTGATGGGATGGTCGTTAACTGTTTTGTCACCTTGAGAAACACATAATAGCAAGAGGGTGGGAAGATCAAGATCATGATGATCTGAGAAAAACTGTGCCTTCAATCATTTGTAACACTCTTTCCTCTGTTCTGCAGAGATGTCTTGTCTGATGGAGGCCCTGGAGGACAAGCGTGTGAGGTTGCAGCCTGAGTGTAAGAAGCGCCTTAACGACCGGATTGAAATGTGGAGCTACGCTGCCAAGGTGAGCAAAGCTGCTCACTTTATTCCTCCAGGAAGACCTCTTCTGGGTGCTTAGGGATTGTTGGGGTTGTGAGGGAATTGGAACAGATGGAAGGTTCCAGCATGATGCATGTGTTGGTGCTGAAGGCCGTGAACACATGATGGAATGCTGCTACTGTAATGACAATCCTTGACACAATATGCTAGATTGGTCTTGGAAGCGAAACTGAGTTAATGGCATGGACAGCCTTAATATGCATGTCGAGCATGGCTCCTCACCACTTTTGTGCAATTTTAAATTCCATCTGTAGAAAGCTATCCTTGCAAGGGCAAGGGCAAGTGCAGCACAAAATGTAACAGTTGCTGTTATAGAGCGGGGCCCCATCTCTTGATATCTGAGCTCCTGGACCCTGAAATGGGGAGAGAGAGAGAGAGAAATTTGGAAGGCAATGCCATCCTGCTGTTGGACAAGCATGTAGCATCCTAGTGGGGAATCCCCACTCCTCCTCTCCAGACACCTTGCTGCACATACCCTGACTTGTGTTTGCACACTCTGCTGAGGAGAGATTGGTTACAGAAAGAACATCCTGAATCTCAAGGGAAAAGCTTGCAGTTGAAAGGATATAAGGAGCGTAGGACTCCTCTTGCTACTTCACAGCTGTTGATCATGGAATTGTGTTCAATACCATGTGAGGGAGGGATAGGATCAGATACTTTAAGAAATCATTTATTAATGGAATTTATAAAGCTACCCCATTACACAAAATCTTTGATTGATGCCCAAAACAAGCACAATTAAAGTACAATATAAAGTGATAAACTAAAACTTAAACTAAAAACACAAAACACAGTTTTTACAGCCAAGAAGACTAGTCCATAAAACAAGTTATTTCAAAGGCCCCTAGGTGAATAGAAAGGTCTTCACCTGGCTCTGAAAAGATCACAAAGCTGGTGCCAGGTGATCTTCTTTAGGAGGTGTGTTTCATCACCCAGGTGCCACTACTGAAAATGCCGTCTCCCTGCCCTACTTTGTTGTTTATTTTTATTTGAAAGAATTTACAAGCTGTTTAATATATATTTTAAATTTCTTAAGCCTGTGAAGAAGAAAAGAAGGTTCAGGTAAGCACCTATGAGAGAAGGAGCTGGCAGAACGCCAGTATAACATGGACAAACGGCCTAGCCCAGTGTATGGTCCTGCGACCCTATTCTGGTCTATACAGGGTTGTAACAAATCGGGTGGTTTTAGAGAAGATTTGTTTGAAGCACTGACCCCTAAATTTCATCTGTACATTGTAGACATCTGTTACGATTGATTTGGGAGCTGACTCTTCCTCCTTGCCTGCCAGGTTGCCCCAGCGGAAGGCTTTTCTGATCTTGCCATGCAAGTGATGACCTCTCCATCCAAGAACTACATCCTCTCAGTGATCAGTGTGGGCATCTGCATCCTGTTCCTGATTGGCCTGATGTGTGGGCGTATCACGAAGCGAGTGACACGAGAGCTGAAGGACAGGTAGAGCCTGCCTTGGTAGTCAAAGGGAAGAAGGAAGGAAAGAAGGCCTGCCTGCCTGCCCGTTGCCCAGTTTGTACAGCCCTCCTCTGTATAGTCTCCCCTCCCACCTCTCCGGAGAGTACAAACAGATTAGAACAGCAGCCCGTGCCAGCTGAGTGTCCCATCTCGTCCATGGCTTCTCCACCCTCGGAACGAGTTGGCACGTGCAGCCTTGGCGGTCCAGCCAGCAGCTTCGTTACCCTGTCGTTAGCGACTGTTGTTTGCCTGCCTGTAGACAAGTTTTTTCTCTTTCTCTTTCTCTCTTTCTCATACTGTCGGAACTGCCTTCACTCCCCAGACAGACTGACAACCTGCAGCTCAAGAGGTTTTTAAAGCAAATTTTTAAAGATCTGTTCCAGACATAGTGTTGGACAGTAGGTCTTGGTGTGGAAGTGTTTGTGCTCCTTGGCTTAGGCAGGAGGACCGAGGGGAAGGGACATCACCCACCATTCACAGCTGGCCTTGCTTTGGACATCTGGCTCACCCTGGAACAAGCATCTCCAGCACATAATCAGTCAGCAAGAGTTGCCTCCAGAGGCCCGTCATCATCTCTACTGTTTTTGTGCTTTTGTTACTGTATTCTGTTGTACTTCTTTTTTTCTTTTTGTGGCTTGTTCCTCCGTTTTTGCCAAAAGGCAATGCCTTCCATACTTCTCCACCCCCACTCCAATCTTTGGGGTTAATAAAATATTGACCAGATTAAAGAAACTTCAGTGGTCTTACAGGCACCCCCTGCAAAACCATACTGTATCTCAAGGGAAGCCTTTGGACAAGCTACGGTGGAGCTGTGGTCTTGGGTAGTAAGGCAGTGGTTTTGGAAGAAAACGAGGATTTGGGTCCTCCCCAAAGGGGTTGGACCCATAAGGTCCTTATTTACAAGTTACTGAAGTTTCCTCCCTGAACTGTCAGGGAGGGTGTAAGACTTTTCTTGCTGTCAAGAATCCATCTAAAGAGATCATCAGCCATTTGGGAAGTAGGGAAACTGGCAGGGCTCCCTACACTAAGCAAGGACGGGGGAGGGGAGGGGGGATAGCTTTCTGAGAGTTGGATGGGAGAGGTATCTTTGCTGAAGTGATGCTTTTAGTAACAGTACTACAGTACCTGTTTGCAATAAGCAGGAGTGTGCTCCTTGTCTGTTGATTGGAGAGCACAGGGAGGAACTCGAAGAAGAGGAAATACGCACGTGCAGGCTCCTTGTGTATAGTAGGATATCTATCAGCCTGTTAGACATGGTTGCCTGTATGCTTTAGAGGGCTAAATCATGAGTCTGCCCGACACAAGGCTTGAGTGCAACATCTTCTTCCCCTCCCTGCCCCTTTTCCTGCTTTGCTGCAACTGCTCAGTCAGATGTCAACTTCTCAGCGTTCTGCATTAATGTCACAAAAGCGAGGGGCTTTTGGCAATGGGACCAGCTGATCTTAATGATGATGTGGACACTCAGCCATACCACTACTGTGAATATTTTCTGCTGCTCTTGAAGTGTTGGTAAAAGGCACAAAAGTTTTTAGCTTTAGGAAACCTTTATTTTTCATCCTACTGGAAAGTCGTTCAGAGTGTGGCTTTGTATTCCTGAGGATGGCAAACTGGAAAAGCTTGTGCAAGAATCTCACCCCACCCCACCCCTGAGGCCCACTGACTGTTTCAGGCCTCCAAAATTAAGGAGAGATGATTAGGGAAATCAAAGATCAGTGAGCGAGCCTGTGTGTACTGAAGGTTTTTTTTGGACTGTGGCCACTAGATTGGATTTCCTTCCCCTGCTTCTGATATTACTGAATCTATGAATGGTGACATTGGAAAGGGGTGTGTGCCATAGTTCCCCAACTAGTGTGTGCTCAGTGCATTCCAAAGCCTCTATTCCCTCCCCCCTCCCTTTCACCCACACGTGGATGCCCTTCAGTATTGTGTTTATTCTGTGTTTTAACTCTGAGGCAAGGCATAGACTTCTTTATCCTAAGGAATCCACCTTGACTCTGAAATGGGGTGGCGATGGTGAGGATGCTCCCAGGGCAACTCAAGTCACTTGCAAGAGAGGCAGCCAGCAGATTAATTGCAGGGTGCTTAGAGCTGCCATTCATACTGTAGGAGGCCAGGAATAACCTTGGTCATATCATCTTCCAAATCCTACACAACGTTGGGAAGAAACTGGCACTTGCATATGGTGACCCTGCAGCAAATGCTGTGAAAGGAGAGGATGCCCCCACCATCCTGGCTAGCACATGCATTCAGATAAGATGCACAACGTATTATTCTTTACATTGCTTCCCTTCAGCCAACTACAATTGCCTTCCCTCGATCCTAGTGGGAGTGCCCCATTGGTTAATGAAAGAAAAATGCTCTCCTGAGTAAATTCCCATAATCAGCAGCAGTGGTTTTTGCAGGCATATAGTGATGCTACCGAAGAGGAGGAGCTTGTGTGAGATGCACGTAAGGGGACTAGTTGCCTGGGAAGAGACAGAATGCCGAAGCCATTACAGCCAGCCAGTCACTCCATTCTCTCAGTGACCTTGAATGAGCCATTGTTTTAAAGAGACGAGAAGCAGCCTCTTGAGTTCCAAGCACTGCAGGTCTCTGTCTCAGCATCACCTAAGCCTCCATGCAGTCTCCTCAGACCCTGTCAGTTTCAGTCTGACAGCTAAGTATTCCTGCTTTGGGGCTTATTTGAGGGACGACTGTTTACAAAAATGATCCTTCATCTAAAGTGGCATTGTATTGCAAGTGTTGTGCTTGTCACTTCCTCCTCAGAATACGTGCAACTGCTTGAGGAAGATGGAAGGGGCTGTGCTGCAGTTTGAATGTTTGAAAAGTGCTTAGGAATTGGGAGCTTGTTTTTCTGCTTCTTCCCTATAAGGTTCCCTGTTTGAACTTGTAGTACTTGCTGTCTTCACCACTGTGGCCTCGACTGTCTTGTAACACGAGCTCCTCCAGCTTCTGGACCCTGTGCTGCTGCTTCTCCTTCCTTGTGTCTCATCTAAAGCTGTGCTGATGCTGCTCTCTTGGCTCTCATCTCAAGGAAGGTCCCCTGGTTTGATGCATTGGAGATGGAAGTACGCGGGTTGGGCACTGCTCTATGCATAACAGGATTAGAGTTCGTGCAGAAAAGCCCTGGTGGAGCCTAAGGAGCAGGGATTTCTTGGCTCTTAGTGGTGGCTCTTAGATGTAGCCTAGGGTATTCTCTTGTCCCACAGTAAGTTAAGGAACTTGTTAAATTGGAAAACTGAAGGATCACACATCCTGTTCCGCTTCATAGTTTGTACAACTGGATTGATAGGTTACACTCTTCCTACATATACACTACATGTGCATCCAGAGCATTAATACTAACAAACTGGAAGAGTGCTGGGTGGAGGGAACTGTCTTTAGGAAGTGGTGCCATCCAGCATGTGGTATCAGCACTGTCCTGGCCCCCGGCTTGTGCTGACACCTGTTCTCATATTGCTAGTCCTTCTGGACAGCTGTGACCAGCATGATAATTGGTTCCATTTCTGTGTAGATTCTGAGCATCAGGAGCGCTGCTTCTCCAACACTTGCAGACTCCTACATCCAGAGGCTCCCTAGCTGGCGCAAAGAGAATTAAAAGACTTATCTCAAGGTTCTTGGAAATGCATCAGAGGCAGGCTGCAATTTCCCTTCAGGTATGCTTTGGAACTCAATATAAGTGGTGTTTGATTGAAGAATAGGCGTGTTTTGTGTTTGAGAGAAGCAAAATGCAGGTGCACAGAACAACTCAGGGTGGCATAAAAGGGTTCGTATTCCGTGCCCCTCCTGCAGCTTGCAAAACCAGCCCTTTGGAGAGACAGTAAATTGGTAGAAGATACAGCTAATGTTGGCTGACCCTTAGTCCTTTTAAAAAATGTAACATTAACAAAGGTTTTTTTTGTAAATTGTTTTTCCTTTCTATGTACAAAATCTTGGCTGTTCTTTCTTTTTACATGTTCATGCTGTGTAATTTTGAATTGTTAACGGAGATTCTGAACATAATGTGCATTTTTTTCTGTACAGATGAAATGGGAGAATTTAATAAAAAAGAGTCTGCAGGTTTTTACTTGTTTTCCTTGTGTCTCCATCAACTGTGAATAAAAAGGGAATCTCCCTCCCCAAGTCATGCCAGACAAATTGTATCTCCTTTTCTTTTTAATCCAGAAAAACTTTTGACAAAAACTCATGTGGTACCTTTGTTGACAAGATGGTAAAATGTGGGCTGGATTATAATTGTTGTTGAATGGATCCACAGCTGGTTGAGTGACCATATCCAATGGGTGTTCATTGATGGCTCTATCTACCAAGAAAGAGGTCTCAATTGTCAGGGCTGTGTTCCTGGGCTGTTAAACACCTTTATAAATTACTTTGATTCAGGGGGTGTTTATCAAGATTTGCAGATGGCATGAGACTGAGACTAATTATAGCTCTATCTAATTATAGCTCTATAAAAGACAGATCTTGAGAGGCTGGAACACTAGGCTACAAACAACTGAAATTCAACTGAGATAAACATCAAATCCTGCATTTAGGTACCAAAAAAGAGCCAGATTTAGGTTGGGGTGGGAACCTAGCTTGGCAGTTGGGCATGTGAGAATTTAGGTTTCTTAGGCAATCACAAGCTAAACATGGACCTACAATGCATTTTTGCTGATAAATAAGCAAACACAATCTTCAGCTGAAATTAACACAAGCATGGTGTCCACAACATGGGGAGTAAAAGTTCTGCTCTGATTGCTGGTCAAGCCACATCTGGAGTACTGTTTCAGTTCTGGGTGTCACATTTAAACTACATTTACCATCTTGCATTTTTAGCCTCCCTTTCCACCAAGGAGCTCAGGGCAGCAGACATGGTTGCTCCTTCCCCTATTTTATCTTCATAATAACTATATGAGGTAGGTGAGACTGGGATTTTGTGGCTGACCCAGGGTGGGGATCTGGCCCTACCCACCACTGACATGTGGCCCTCAAAAGGTTGCCCAGAAGAGAGCGTAGTTCAGGCTGAAAAAGGTTCCCCACTCCTGTAGGTGCAAACAAATCTTGCTTTGGAGCAAATTTCATGATGCCTGTCAGCCACCACACTTCTTGGTCTGCCTTATGTCAGTTTTCATGAACTATCCCTGACCCAGATGGGAATTCCCTGTTGCCCAAAGTGATGGTTTCTCTAAGAGTAATGCCACGAGCCACTGTGTCTCACTGATGCAGTGTGGGGTAGGCATACTTGGCTTTGTTGAAATATTACACAATGAGGGGAAGAGGCATTTGGATTGGATCTGCATCAACAGTAGGCTCAAGTGTTGGGGAATGGGAGGGGACACTGGAACAGTGGTAACCCAATAAAAGCAGAGCGCTTCAAAACTGGTATGCCTGTCTGTGGCAAAGAGCTAGCCCAGGATGGAGAAGATGTGGTATTTTTCTTCTGGGCCAACCTTTGTTTTTTGTGCAATTGGGAGAATGTAGAGCTTAGCTGTTCAATGGTGAGTTCCTAAACTGGAGGAAGAGGATCTTGTTCTATGTGAATTTGGGGCTTTATGAGAATACATTCCCTCCAACTTAATCATGCAAAGCTACCCAATTTGGCTTTTTGGTTGTTGGTTTTTAACCTAGTGCACTACTAAAAATTAATCTTCAACTTTCTTCATATGAAAACTGCTGAGCTTCTCTTGGTCTTGCACCTAAGAACCCTGTGTGTTTCATCTAAAAAGATACAATGGCGTACAGATGGAAGTGTTTTTTTAAATGGGGATGGAGCAGTGGTCAACCATTGCATGCTTCTTTGTCCCAGCAGTAGGAGGTGCAGCCTAAAACTTGCTTCAGCGCACAATAGACTGGAGTCTCCTTTGTTCGCCACCCCCACCCCCCAATATTTCATCTGAACACTGTCCCAAGATGCAGGCAACTTTAGGGGCGAGGGAGGGGCCCTTTTTCTGCTCTGGAGGAACCAGGAGCCTCTTATCCAGCTGAGGATGGCGACCCTGCTGTGCTTTACAGATTGCCCGCAACTTTACGCCATTTTTGGAGCCTACGAGTTTACAAAAACGGATGGCAACATTAGACCGGAGAACAATCACATTACTTACTTTTTTAAAAAATGTGAACAGTCAGTGACAACCGAAGTCGAGCTTTCGTTCATTTATTACATCAACATATTTCCATTCCTGCAAGTTGCTAGGGTGCACGGTGCAGGCACTCATCCCCGTTTTCTTCTCCGTAACAACCCTGCGAGGTAGGCTGGGGTGAGAGACCCACCACGGAGCAGCTTCATAGGTCAGCGGGGTTCACCATGTGCAACGGTTCCACCACTCCGGCAGAAGCCTTACGAACGATCCCGCCAACAGCGACTCGATCGGTCCCTCGTTGCTTCCCAAAACGTTTTTAACATATATTTATTTATTGCACTTGCAGGTATGCAAAAATTAATGCAAGCTTAAAGCAAAGTTTTTTTTTAATAAAGTAGCGGGAAGCTGCCTCGAAAATATGCGCCCCCCCCCCGTAGCACTGGCAGGTCCTTGGCGAGCAGCGCGCACAAAACTCCCACTATCCAAAAAACTGTGTCCAGGATAAGCGGAGCAGCATTAACGCCGCCACAACCGAGGAACTGCATACTGCGCCTGCGCGTCGCAGAAGCCTCACTTTCTTTCCCATCCCCGCCTCTCTGTCTCGGACTATCACTCAAATTTAGCGGAGTGCGCTTGCGCGGACTCCGTAACCCCACCCCCCGATTCTGATTGGCCGCCGCGCGGCTGATGTACGGCACCGGGTGCGCTGCTGTCGCGCGGTCCGGCCGTAAAGCGCAGGCGGGAAATCAAGGAAGGGAAGGGAGAAGGTCGCGCTCCGGAGGGGAAGCCGGCGTAGGTGAGGCGGCCCTTGAGTCGGCCCAGGCCTCGCCTGCCTCCCTTTCCCCTGAGCCATGTTGGGCGGGGCATGCAAATAAGCTCTGCGTGGGCGGGGCCGGCGCATGCAAACGAAGGCTGTGGAGGCGGGGCCGTTGCATGCAAATGTGGCCCCAGGGTGGGCTGGTGGGTTGCGCCAGGTGTGCCCTTTGCTGCTGGGGCAGAGCAGTCTTGCCCTCTCCCCACCTACAGAAATCTAGGCCTACCTTGCAAGGTGGTTGTTGCTGGGGATAACTCTGGAGTTCTTGAATGACTGATAAATTCCTCTTCGAATGTTAAGTTGTTGTTTTGATTGTTAGATACTTCAGGGTGAGGAGAGTGTTGGGCTGAGACTGATGAAGAAGACCCTGGTTCGAATGCCTCCTGCCACGAAGCTCCCTGGGTGACCTTGGAGCACTCACAAACTCCCAGCCTCACCTACCTCGCAGGGTTTGTTGTGAGGACAAAAGAGGAGGAGAGCCACACATTGCCGCCTTGGGCTCTTTTCAGGAAAGGTGGAACGTGAGTGTATGTGTCAATAGCTGGCCTGGAGCGTTTGCCCTCTAGTTAAAGAATGCTGGAGATGGAAGGATCCACACTCCTGCTGTTGCAGGGAACCCGTTATTTCAGCTTCCCTGTTTGGTGGCCTCCCAGCCTTTGTTAAAAAATCTCTCGTGAAAAAGGCCACCACTTTCCGAGACAATCTGTTCCATTGTTGGACAGCTTGTACAGCCAGGAAATTCTTCCTCATGTTTAGGTGAAGTTACCATTCCTGCAATTTGAACTTGTGAGTCAGATCTTTCCCTCTAGAACAAATTAGAATAAATTTGCTCCTTCACCTCTGTAGCAGCTGTTCAAACATTTGAAGATTGCTATCATATTGCCCCTTAGTAGTCTCAATGCTAAAAAAAATACACAACTCTTGCAGCCTTCTTCATCGGGCTCTGAACATTTTTGTTCCATGTCCCTCCCCAATGTTCTAGCTTGTTGATAGTCTTTTATTATTTCTGGTTGCTCTGTATCTTTTCCAGGTGGTCAGCAATCTGCTTCGTGCTCCAGATGTGGTCATATCAGTGCTGAAAAGTGGGGTATGTTTATTTATTTCACCCAAGCCCTGGAATATTCTTTTCTCAGTGACATAACTTGACATGAAATTGTGTCGGAGCACAATGGTTCTCCTTTGCCTGTGCCTTTGGTGTGGTATGTGAAGTGTATAATATCTCACGTGGGGTGGAAAGGGTTGGATTGAGAAAGATAGTACTGAGTTTTCTAGATGTTGCTTGTGGGGCTGCATTTAACGGGCTGCAGTCTCCTGTCTTTGTGCTCTTGACTTTGGCAGATACAGCTTTTCTGTAACTAGTTCTTCCCCATTGCCTTTTTTAAAACAGCATTTTTGCCTTTCAAATCTCAGTGTATGATTTCCTGATAGCTTGCTTAAATTTTAACTGAACAAAAGCAAGAATGTAAAAATTAAAAACATAATTTTATTTTTTATCATTTCCTTGTTATGCTCTACTATTCAAGTACTAGGTAACAGTGGTTCGGTATGTTCAGTATTTAAAAGCATTTGTTCCGTATGTGCTGTAACCAATTTAATTAATGGACCATGGCAACACAGTTCCCCACCCAGCCAAAAAAAGACCTTTTGTTTGCACTCTGTTGATGCTAAATACAAATTCAGTGTTTTATGTCAAGCAATTCAGCATTTGAACAGAGTTGGACTTCCTGCCTGGTCTTTATTAATTAATTAATTAATTAATTAATTAATTAGGGAATTGCTATAATTCTGCAAGTGTTACGCAAAATAAAATTTAAAAATCCATGCATCGTTGGCTTTCTCTCTCACATTTTTCAGTGATGTTCAATTTGTGACAGTGTGTCCTTTGAAATGATCATCTTTTGCAGCAGGACCTGAAATCACCTCTGCCTAAGGCTATTGTCTGTCTGGGTTTACAGAACCTGGCTGGGGGAACTTTTGCTCTATGTCAGTTACCTCTGTATGAGTCAAGGAGATTGTAATGCTGGCTGATTTCATTTTAAGCCATGATACAGTTTTGCAGGTTGATTTTGCATAATAATGTTATGTTTTCCAGAAATAGCAGCTCTTGGGATTTATCTGTGGGGCTCGGAAAGGGCTAAAGGACCCTTCATCAAGATGTTCCTCCGGCTCTTGTCTGATGTCCGGTGGCAAAGAGCTAGCCCAGGATGGAGAAGCATGACCAGCTCCCGGCACAGTAGCACAACTGGAGCAGAACCTCACCTGACCCCTCTGCCATCACATGCACAGGTGGTTATCTGTGGGGGTGGAATCATGGGCACATCAGTGGCATATCACCTCTCCAAACTCGGGTGGAAGGACATCGTCTTACTGGAGCAGGGCAGGTAAATAGTTTTTTCCCCCCTTTGCAAAAGAAAAGAGGTGTTTGATGCAGCAAGTAATGCTGTGTGGTGGAACTGGGAAGGTCTTGTAGCAAAGGTAAAGTGTACACACACCTGTTAGCTAACTGTAAGATTCAAGCTGAGAATTTATCTACATCTTCCGAAAAAGGCATTTGTATTTTCTGGAACTGTACTGCTTCAGGTTAGGACCAATATTCAGATGTTCTCCTCACTTAAAAAACAAAACAGGAACAGGAACAGAACCTCCCCTTGCATGTAGAAACCCAGCATGGTGGGGAGATGACTGGACTCAGCTAGAACCCTTCTCTGACATGCTGGTTTTCCATAGGCAGCAGTCCTTGTTCAGTAATATCTTCCCCACATCTGATAGCTTTCTTATGCAGCATCTTATCTTTGGAATTCGTTTCAAGTTGCTTTGTCTCATGGGGATGAGGAATTTGTGTTCCTCCAGTTGTTGTTGGACTCCAACTTGCATCAGTCCTAGGAAGCATGGCCAATAGTTACGGTGATGGGAGCTGCAGTCCCAGCAACATCTGGAGGGTTAAAACCTACCTTTTTTGTTTTCCTTGCTTCTGTTTGACTCAACATCTCATACCTTGTTTCGTTTCCTTTACTTGTGCTTCTCTCTGCGATGGGGGTATCTTTAAAGACTGTCTGGCTGGTTGAAAATACAGCTGCTGGACTACTAATTGGGACCAAAAGTTGGGAATGTTTTCAGCTGGTGGCTTGGTGCTTTCTTTAAAAGCCTGTCGTGGCTTGGGACCTGTGTACCTGAGACAGCACCAGTTCTCACATAAACCTACCCATGTGTTGGGATCATGCGGGGGGGGGGGAGGCTACAGGAATGCTGACAGTTTGGGGGGTTTGTTCCTGAGCAGTTGGAATGCTTATAAAATTAAATGCAATTGCACCTGCTAATACTGGTATAACAGGCTTCATTGCTACCAGCACAGAGTCAAAGTTTCTGTAGAATTTCTGCATGCTTATTAAAATCATAAGGTGTAGACTCATGGTTATTAAGCTGTGTCTTCTTACACTTGTAATCAGGGTAGTAAAAATATTCTAAAGGGGTGAATTCCCCCCATTATTTCAGTGCATACTTAAGATTGCCTTTGAAGCTCTGATCTCTGCTGATTTGGTGTTTGGATTCCTGGCATGGTTGTTATTCCAGATTAATTAACTTTTAGTACATTGGTGTGATCTCACCTGTGTGACAACAGGGTACACAAGGGTGATCGGAATGAAATGCTTGTCATAAGAACATAAAAAGAACCTGCTGGATCAGGCCAATGACCCATCTAGTCCAGCATCCTGTTTTCACAGTGGCGATCCAGATGCCAGTGAGATGCCTGCAAGCAGGGCTGGAGCATAACAGTACTCTCCTCTCTGGTGGTTTCCAGCAACTGGTATTCAGGAGCATTACTGTCCCCGACCATGGAGGCGCAGCATAGCCATCATGACTAGTAGCCTTCAATAACCCTTTCTTCTATGAATGTCCCATGTCTTTTAAAGTATCCTCAGTAGCATCAGATGCTGGTTTGGCATTAGAGGACAGCATTGTGTATGTTGTCTGAGTCTTTAAGACTCAAAGAAGCCCTGCCAGAAACCAGCCAGTTCCTTTACGTTTCCTTTGCCAAGGAATGCTGTCCTGACCCTGTGTGCTGGCATTGCCCTGTCAGTGGCATGCAAGAGCAAATGTTTGCCCTTCCTTTGGCTCTGGTGGCAGAAATTGCCTCCTTGCACTTGGGCTCTCCTTGTGAAATCTGGAATGGAAGGCAAAGCGTGCCTCTTGTCAACACACAGCTAAAAATATCCCCTGCCGTATCTTAGTGGCACACTTGCGTGCTCAGCACCCAAATTGGGTTTCACAAACTCCATCCTTTGTAAAACCAACACACATTTGCTGACTGTGCCTCACTTCTTTGGAGGAGCGCACTTTGATTTTGCTGTGTGCTGGGAAGAGCATGGAGGAAAGCAAGGAAAAGGAGATTGCGATCTACTTAATGACACTTTATTTCACTTCATACAAACTTAGCACTTCATATGGAATTTAAAAAGAAGCTCCTGCTTTATGACTGACCATCTAAGTAAAGATGAGGTGTTCCTGGCAATCTTGAAACGGTGTGCTGTGAGAGTATGTGATTGCTTTTCGATATTTTAATTGTTTTTTAAATGTCTTAAATACATTTTTTTTATTGTATTGTATTGTTTTATCACTGATGCATTTGCCACACTGGGCTCCTTTGGGAGGAAGGGTGGGATGTAAAAATAGTAACCAAATAAAGAGGATGGGGCTTGAGGATCCATCTAAATGCAGAGCTTGTAAAGGTTAGTGCCTTCCTAAAAGTGAATAATTGTGACAGGTTTTCCAATAGAAACCAGCCCAAAGAAACAGAGCCTACCAGCTGCCTTTCTTCTAGCCCCTGGCAGTTATTTCATCCAGTCCAGGTCCCCAAAAGAAGAGGAGTAGAAATATCAGGCTCACAGTCGCTGGTATGGTTATGTAATCTATCCGGTTCCAGGCAGGAAGTAGCTTCTACTGGCTTTGGTGGTCTGTGATCCCAGTGTACAGGCCATGCCACCTTTGTAACACTTGCTGGTGGCAATGTGGGGAGGTCTCCTGGGGGGAAATATTTTTCCTTTCTCCAGGATGCTGCCCATAATCCCCACTAAGTGCTACAAGTTTCCTGACTGTGGCCTCAAGAAACTGCCTTCTGGGTGTAACCACAGAGTCTTAGGAAGTACAGGCAATTGTATAAGGTGCAAAAGGCCCCACTTTTTAATTGGTGGAAAGCCTTGCCTGCTCCTCCTCTTCCCTGCCTGATTCCATAGGAAATGACTCCCTGGGTCATTTGCATCTAAATGTCCTAGGTTCAGTCTTTAGATGGGGTTGGGAAAAGCTCCATCTGGAAACCTGGAGTGCCAACCACACTTAGCTGGTGGGCCAATTGGCCTGACTCTGGGTATGGCAGCTCCATACTTTCTTAGGCAGCCCTCTGTCACTGACTCATGACCTCTCCTCTTGGGCCAAACAAGCTTCCAGAGTCCCCACAGACCCTCCTGGGTTTCCCTCTTTCAGGCTAGCTGCTGGTTCCACGAGATTTTGTGCCGGCATCGTAAGCACAGCACGGCACCTGTCCATCGAGCTGAAGATGGCCGACTACTCCAACAAGCTGTATCAGCAACTCGAGCAAGAGACTGGGGTAAAAACAGGTAAGGAGGGGTCACCTCACTGAGCTTTGTGGCTGAGCAGGGGGTGGGGGAGTCAAACACAAAGCAATTCGCCATCCTGGCATTCTCCAGAAGGGTTGCAGATAATAGCCACCATTTGCACCCATCTGAAACGAACCCTTTCTGGGGCTTTCCTGTACCCTGACAGAGGGTGCCTGTACTTGTTCCAGGTTATGTGAGAACTGGCTCTATCTCTCTCGCTCAGACGCAAGACCGGCTGATCTCCCTGAAGCGCATAGCCTCACGGCTCAAGTAAGTGTAAGAGCAACAATGAGGAGGAGCACCAGGCATGTGCCAGCCTTTCTGGAATAACTTATAATCAGGGCCTGGCCAGTTGGTGCTGGTCTGTGTGACAGGGCCTTTTCAGTGGTGGTTCCCCAGTTGTGGAATGCCTTCCCTAGCAAAGGTGCTCCTCCTCTGTCATTATTAACTTTAAGGAGGAATTTGAAAACATTCCTGTTTCCCAAGGCCTCTGGTGGCTGAAGAACGCTGTTCAGGCTCCTCAGATCATTGGATGAAGGAATGTTTTTAACTGATTTTAGAATTTTTTTTTAACTGTAACTGATTTTCAGTGTTTTTAATGGTAATTGTCTTTAAAATATTTGCTTTCTTTGCCACCCTGGGCTCCTTGGGGGAGGAAGAGTGGGATGTAAATTCAAAAATAATAATAATAGCGACTGGCCTTTGCTGTGTGTGTTCTCCAACAGGGTCATGGGGATCCCATGTGAGCTCATCCCGCCCAAGAGAGTGACGCAGCTCCACCCGCTTCTCAACATCCACGACTTGGTGGGGGCCATGTACCTCCCAGAGGATGCTGTCGTTTCATCAGCCGATGTGAGCCTCGCTTTGGCCAGCGCTGCCTCTTTGAATGGTACGGCCCGGCCATGCCTTTTTGTCGGCAATATCACTTGAGGACGAACCTCATTGGGAGAGACATTGCTGATTTGTCTGCTGTTTACATTTCTAATTTGCAAAGTAGATTACAGCCTTTAGTGTAGCCTTCCCCAACTCCAGATATTTTGGACTACAGCTGATGGGAGTTGTAGTCCAAAATATCTGGAGGGCAATTGGTTGGTGACGGGTGCTTTAATGTGTATTCCCTCGCAGGCATCCTGTATGGAAGCCTTCCCCGACCTGGTGCTCCTCATGTGTTTTGGAGCAGTCATGCTGGCTATAGCGGATATGAGTTGTAGTCCAAAACCACTGGAGGGCAGCAGGTTTGGGGGAAAGTGCTGTGTGAAGTAGGTCTCTGCTCCCATTTTTCTGAAGGGAGAACTGAGACTGAGGGTTGAACTACATGTAACCAAGAACTTGGGCTGCTGCAGAAACTGACAGCTTCACGTCAAGTTCCTACCTTTCACATCTCAAGAGAAGGGGCTGCAGTTCAGAAGCAGAGCCCATGTTTTGCTTGCAGAAGGTCCCAGGTTCAATCCCTGACATCTTTAGGAGGACTGAGAAATCCTGGAAAGCCACTGCCTGCCAGTGTAGACAAGAACGAGCTGCTAGGTGTATCAAAGGGCTGACTCTGTATAAGGCAGCTTCTTGTGTTCCTGGAAAACGGGCCTTCATAACGACATCAGCTCAAGTTGAGCTACACAGTGCAGAGGCCGAGGGGAGAGCTCAACATGGAACTGCTCCTTTGGGTCGTATCACTCTGCTCTTTGTAGCACATATCTCAGCTTTAAGGCTGCCATCCTACACAACCCTTGCCTGGTGTGCAAGTCTCACTGAATTCAACAGGGCTGCTGTGTAAACACATAGGAACTGCTTGCAAGAAAGAGTGACTTGCCACTAGCCACACAGCGAGAGTGTGGCAGAGTCCTCTTTCCCACCCACTGTGCCACACTTACTTTCAGCTTGTGTGAATGCTCTTGCATGGTCTACTCTTCCGTCCTGCTAGAATCCTCATGGTCCACTGGAACATGTTAAATGTGCAAAGCAAAGTTGTATCCTTCGGAGCTCTTCCACAGTGGAGGCATGATTAACCTGCTTGGAACATACCCATGAAGCTGCCTTATGTCAGTTTGGGCCATTGCTCCGTGCCGCATAGGATCATTTCTTGCCATAGGAAGGCAAAACCTTGCGCCCTCTTAAAATGTTGGACTACAATTTATACAGTGAGTTTTCCACAAATGCTTGTGGTTCACATTGTTAAAAAAGATCTAAGTACAGTAGTACAATAATGATACCTTATGAAAAGTATATATCTGTGAGCATGCTGGCCTAATTGAGACTCTTGATTTGTGCTTCCTGTAGCAATTCCACTTTGGCCAGGGCAGGCAGGGGGCAAGAGAGGTGACAGGTCCAATGGACCTACTCTGCAAGCAGCTTTTCTTTGGAGTGGGGAGCAATTGGAGGGGGTTGGACTGGATGACCCTTTAAGTCTCTTCCAACTCTACAGTTCTACGATTCTAATTTCTGGCTCCCTTTTCCGCTTTCTCCACCCAGGTGCCCAGATCCATGAGCGGACGAGTGTTATCCACGTCTTGTGCCAAAAGGGTTGTGTGGCTGGAGTGGAGACTGACAGAGGGATGATCGAGTGCCAGTATTTTGTTAACTGTGCTGGGCAGGTCAGGTGCCAATTGTTTTGTGTGGCTGCTGTTGTCGGCGTGTGTGTGCATTGACTCACAAACAACTGCTGTGAATGAACTCAGATTTCTCCTGATGCTTCTTTTTGGGGAATACTTTCCAAATTAGCAAAAGGTTGTTCTCTCAAAAAGGCAAGCCTTTTGTGCTGGTACAACCCCCCCGCCCTCAGGGCTTGCAGGGCTTTGTGTTCAACCTAGAAAATGGTTCTTGTTGGGTTTTTCCTTCCATGCTGCACCACATGTCTGGTGTGAACTGAGTCAGGGCAAACCTGGCTTCCTATGCTGACTGCATGGCTGTGGGATTGGTGGGAGGGAAGGATCCTGCACTCCCAAGTTGGGTACTTTAGTCTGGGCTATATGTAGTCATTGCTTTCTATTGTAATTGTGAGCTGCAGAATCAGCTAGTTTAGTTAATGGTGAATAATTTATTTTGCCTCTAGTTGTAGAGAAGGGCAAGAAGCTATAAGGCACTAGTGCCAGCCTTTGCCAAGCGGGTGCCCTCTAGATGTTTGCGCAGGATCTCCTTGCCTCCTCTCATCCAGCACCTTTTCTGTCTCACTTCCCTACCCCCTTCCCTGCAGCGTTACCTGGCATGTGATCCCATTAAACTACATGGTGGTGCAACTTGCCTTCCGCTTGAGCTCTAACTTCCCTGCCTTGGTTTCAGTGGGCTTACGAGCTGGGCCTTTCCAACGAGGAACCAGTCAGCATCCCTCTGCACGCCTGTGAGCACTTCTACCTCCTGACCCGGCCCTTGAAGACGCCGCTGGAGAGCAGCACGCCAAGTAAGAACCCTCCCTCTGACCCTCTCATGGACCCCTTTGCCTTCCCCGCAAGGCACTCATGGTCATTGCTCAGTTGCAGTGCACAAATCCTGGATGCAGGACAGGGAGGGGGTCTGGGAAAGGCCTTTGGCTGAGACAGAAGATAGCCCACGTTAGCCAGCCAGTGGGCTGTATTGGGTCAGGAAGACTCATGGGTGTCTGGCTGCTTTTAAGGAATTGGGGAGGAAATGAACAAGGAGGCATTGGGTGAAAAAGTTGTGCTTTGTAGTCCTCTCAGAGCAGCTGTGGCATGTGGGGCTGCCTTTGCTTGCCCAGTGGCTCTTAAGCAGTTTTTGTAAATCAGGGGTGGGGAACATTTTCAGCCTGAGAGCCACTTTCCTTCTGGGCAACCTTCCGGGAGCTGCATACAGAGTGGTGGGTGTGGCAGGAGTGGGCGTGACCAGACACACACCATCTAGGCAATTCAGAGGTGCCATGGCAGTTAAAGGATGCATTCTAGCCAGGCAACATCATGAGAGGAGGACACACCAGGGCCAGATACAGGGGACTAGAAGGCTGCATTTGGGCCCTTGGCCTGAGGTTCCCTACCCCTATCGTAAGCAGAGAATAGCACACAGCTCAGCAGCTACAGAAGAAAGGGGAGGAAGTTTTCAGGGCTGGTTGGCTTACCACGATCAGCTAAAGCATTGGTTTTGATAGCCCCTTGCAAACAGCCTGCTTTGTTCTAGCTGCTACACCAGAGGAAAGACTTTTGGTCATACAGTGGTACCTCGGGTTCAGTACTTAATTCGTTCTGGAGGTCCATTCTTAACCTGAAACTGTTCTTAACCTGAAGCACCACTTTAGCTAATGGGGCCTCCTGCTGCCGCTGCGCTGCCGGAGCATGATTTCTGTTCTCATCCTGAAGCAAAGTTCTTAACCCGAGGTACTATTTCTGGGTTAGCGGAGTCTCTAAGCTGAAGCGTATGTAACCTGAAGCGTATGTAAGTGTATGTAACCCGAGGTACCACCCAAGAATCAGTGCAAGGTCGACTTAGCCTCCCCAAAGCAGGCAGGGACTCTAGCTTTCTTCCCTGACTGAATTTCCGGGAGCCTTCTGCCCACATGCAGACAATCACTTCTTTCCCTTCCTGTTACCCCGCCCCCCATAGCTATTGTGGACCCTGATGGGAGGATCTACATCCGCAGTTGGCAGGGGGGCATCCTTTCAGGCGGCTTTGAGAAGAACCCCAAGCCGATCTTCACGGAGGGCCGGAACCAGCTGGAGATACAGAACCTGCAAGAGGACTGGGATCACTTTGGTACGTTGGGTGGACCAGGAAAGGGTGTGTGTGTCCCCAGGTCCTCCAGATGCACCTTTCCTAATATGAGACATGTTGGCTTGAGCAAAGCATTGTGCAAGTGAGTGAGTGCCTGGCTTGGTGAGTGACACCTGCACTTTGCACTTCCTCTTTGCTTTTACAGTTAGTTTATAAAGTTCTGCCTTGGCTGGCCCACTCTGGGCACATTGTTGATTGGTGCTGTGAGCAAAAAGCTGTATTCTGGGCTCTCAACAAGTGCTACAAGCAACAGAGTCAACATCTGTGGGCTGCTGTGTTTGTAAACTTGGAACTTGACGGTGATGGGGTGGGGGCAATGAGGGTTTGGGTATGCTGCCCATCCCTCCAAATAGTGATTGTTTGTTCTGTCTCATCTTGGGGAGTAGAGCCACTTCTGAGTGCCCTTCTGCGGAGGATGCCGGATCTGGAGGCTCTGGAGATCGTGCAGCTGGTGAATTGCCCAGAATCCTTCACTCCAGACATGCGGTGCATCATGGGAGAGTCGCCCAATGTGCAGGGCTACTTTGTCCTGGCAGGGATGAACTCGGCTGGCACGTCTTTTGGTGGAGGAGCAGGCAAGTAAGTGGCTCACCCCTCTCTGCATGGGAGAGGCAGAGGGCCAGGGATGAGGGCACCGCTTGTAGAACTCTATATGCACCAGCTTCCTGTAGGTGCATTTAAAGTATGTGTGCTGCTTCTCTAAGGCAAAGCTATGCCAGGGCCCTGCAGTTTCCAGCAGAAGGGGCTGCTCAGCTTCTCCTTGTCTGCTGCTAGTTTCTGCGCATGCTGGCACATCACTCTCTGTCCTCCATCTGGGCAACCACGAGGCATCATCAGAGTTCAAGGGCACATCTCAAACCAGGCAAAAAGATTCAAGGAGGTGCAAAGCAGGTGGAGTACGGGCTGTAGCTGGTAATGGGATATGGTCAGGGAGGAGACTTGGGGGCCAGATAGGGAGATTTTGAGGCCTGCATTTGGTTCCCAGGCTTGAGGTTCCCAATCCTTGGGCTAATGGATGTTCCTTGCAACATCCAGAGTTGCTGTGACCTTTCTGGTTTGGGCAAAGGGATTTTATGTTTTGCTCTTGCTTGAGCAAGGAGGGATTGCAGGCAATAATGTGTCCCCACTGTAGCTCTATCTCCTACAATGTTATCTCTGGGTGTAATTACCGCCCCCCCCCCGCCACAAGCACGGTCTGTTAACTGTCTGCTCTCCTGCACTATTTAACCTTCTGGGCCTGCTTGTCTCCCTCCTTGGCCAGGTACATGGCTGAATGGATGGTGAACGGCTACCCCTCTGACAACGTGTGGCCCTTGGACCTGAAGCGCTTTGGGGCTCTGCAGAGCAGCCGCACCTTCCTCCGCCACCGCGTCATGGAAGTGATGCGTAAGTAGCCTGCGGCTGGACTCGCTCGTGCCCCACGTTAAATCAGGGCTGTGTAGGGTGTCCTGTCTGGACTAGGAAGGTGATGGATTTGTGTCCCTTCCAGCGCTTTGATTCTGTGATTCTGTGGCCCCTCCAGCCCTGATTTATGACCTGAAAGTTCCCCGCTGGGATTTCCAGACCGGCAGGCAGCTGCGCACGTCACCCCTCTATGACCGGCTGGACGCACAAGGAGCCAGGTGGATGGAGAAGCACGGCTTTGAGAGGGCCAAGTACTTTGTGCCGCCTGGGAAAGGTGAGAGCGCTGTCCTCCGTACGCAGCCCTTGGAGCACGGGGTGCCAGCATCTTGTTGTTTTGACCCAAGTCTTGTGCTTCCTCATCTTCAGACTTGCTGGCCCTGGATCAGAGCAAGACCTTCTACAAGCCAGACTGGTTTGACATTGTGGGGGCAGAGGTCAAGTGCTGCAAGGAAGCCGTCTGCGTCATTGACATGTCCTCGTTCACCAAGTTTGAAATAAGTGTAAGTGTGGTTGTGAGAGGGACGTGGACCAGCACTGTGGGCCTGGCATCTGCTTCTGTAGCTTGCTTGGGTGTCTAGAAACCCGCAAAGTTTGTTCAGTTGATACAGAGCTGTCGTTATTTTATAAAAAGCAACTTTTGGCAGAACCATACAGATGAAAATGGGCAGACCAAAGCCTTTATGGCAAGAATGGGGCAGCTGTGGCCCTCCAGATATAATAATAATAATAATAATAATAATAATAATAATAATAATAATAATAATAATAATAATAATAATATCTTTATTGTCATTACCCCCTCTCGGGGACAACGAAATTACTTGACTGCTCCATAAAAACCCTAATTAAAACAATACAGTATAGTACAGCAAGGAAGATTAGATGACTTTCAAAGTCCAGGCTTTCCATTCAGGGCCGAGATCGCTCTGGAGAAGAAGCTGTTCTTAAGACGGCTCGTTCTTGTCTTCGTTCTATTTTTGGGCTACAACTCCCATCATCATCTTTCTGACCACTGGCAATGCAGATGGGAGTTGAGGGCCACAGTTAACCCAGCCCTGCCTTAAAAGGCTCACGGAAATAAATAAAAGTATTGTGGAGAGGCACTAAGAGAGACCCCTGATAGGACCATTCCAGAGGGTGGGTGCTGCCATGGAGAAAGGTCTTCCTCCATGTATCAGCCAAAACTTGCAAGATGGACATTTTGTGAACTTTGGCACTGAGCTTTTCCTTAATGCTTCTGATCTTCTAAGCCTTTATGATTCAAGCTGTATCTCTCCAGGCAGCTGGAATGAATCTTGCGGAGAGAAATGCACCTTGGTTTGGAGAGGGCTCAGGCTGTAAGCAAGCAAAGGGTTGCCCATGTAATGTTCATAGCTATTAAAGCCTGGAAACTTGCCTTTTTGTGTGTTTTTAGGAAGGTGAGTTTTGTGGCAAGGCATTAACTAAAGTAGCAAAGTGGCTAAGAAAATGTGTAATTTAGGGTAAATACAGTTAGAAATGCATACACTGAGGAATGCGGGCATCAAGGTGCTTACTTGTGTCAGGAGCTGAGAGCCATTTCAAAAAGGGATGGACAAATCCTGCTTCTGCTGCTGTCTCTGATTTCTTTCTCCTCTCCCACCTCCCCATGCTGCAGTCCACAGGGGACCAGGCCCTGGACGTCTTGCAGTATCTCTTCTCCAATGACCTGGATGTGCCAGTGGGGCACATAGTGCACACAGGGATGCTCAATCACAACGGAGGATACGAGAACGACTGCAGCATCGTCCGCCTAAACAAGCGCAGGTAGGCTTATTCGGACTCATCCTTTTGCCTGCTCTTCCTTCTGCCGTCCTGCTTTGAAGACTCACCTTCCACATTACGCAATGCCTCTGTTAGTGCTGTGCCTAGAAGAAGAGGATATGAGAGGAGCAGATCTTCCCAGATTTGATTTGGAGGGGGGATAAATTATGTTTTGTGAAGGAGGGCTTCCTTTATTCTGTCCTGAATATACAGCGAATCAGTTTTATGACACACAAGAAATTGCTACTTTATATCCTTCCCCCCCTTCTTGAAGTGTTACGTTCACCACCTAGATCCTTTGTTTATTTGCAATATCTATTTTTGTGGAAGTCCCATTGGCCCCCAACCAGCCTGGCCCATTGGTCAGGGATAATTGAAATTGTAGTCCAGTAACCGGTGGAAGCCCAAAGGCTGCCCGTCCCTACTCTAGAGTCTATCTTCCACAGATTATTATTTTTAATGTATCTATATCCCACCTTCAAGAAGCTCAAGGTGGTGTACTTGGTTCGAGTCTTCAATTTGCTTCTCAAACGAAGGGCCGAATTGAGCAAAGTGCTACAGGCTTGCCTTTGAGTTTGGTAAATATTTGGCCTGCATTCAGGAAAGCTTCTGATGCCAAATTTCACTGCCTGGGAGGCCGGTGGTCTCATTCTTCAAGCCAAGAGAGTGCAAGACAGGGCCCTCAAAGTTGCAGGAAAACCATTTGGATTACAGGATGTGAAGTGTTGTTTCACATTAGTTATGGGAATACTTTGTGCTCCAGTGCCTCTGCAGCTCAGATACAGCTTTGTATGCTTCAAGGGGCACCTTTCAGGGCCATGTTGGAGGATGGAACGCCTCCCAGGTTGAATGCAAGAACCTGAGAGCCTGGACTCAGTGATTATCCACCCCAGGAGAGTTGCAAATCCCAACAGGCTTTGCTTCAAGCCCTCTGTGAGTGTGGACGGGTCCACCATGCCACGATACCTCCCCAGTGCCTGCCCCCTGCCTTGTGCTTAAACTTCTCCATTGTACTTTGCATTCCAGCTTCTTCATGATTTCCCCCACAGACCAGCAAGTCCATTGCTGGTCCTGGTTGAAGAAGCACATGCCTGTTGACAGCAACCTGTTCTTGGAAGACGTAACTTGGAAGTACACAGGTAAGGCAGGAGGGAATATTGTGCCTGCCAGATGCTGACACAGCTGGAGCGGCTGCAGATGCTCCTTCAGCAAGAAGTCATGTTTTCAGTTGCTCTGGAGCCCCATGCTGTCCAAAACAAAGGGATGGCAGCTTGTTGGGGAAAGTTGCTGTAAAAATATGAATGTGGCAAATAGGTTTTTGCAAATGTATTATCCAGGTATTCTCACAGGCGATGCGGGTTTGGTTGTGGCTCTTTGTTGGCATCTGATCAGTGACAGATCCAAGCTTGGTGCTATGTAGTGTGGGAAACGCTCCCTGGGCTTATATGCGAAGTTCGTTCTGAAATATAGGCTCCCATTTCACATCTTCTCTTAGAATTCTCTACCTTTTAGAAGATGATTTACCCCTTACTTTCACTACTGAGGGTGGAACTATGCTCTCACATGGTGCCACCATCAAAAAAGGCAGCCCCTTGTTTCCCCTCATCCCCCTATCATTGGCTGCCAGGGTACGAAGAGCTGCACACCACAGTTATGTCATGGCAAGGGTGCCTGAAGAGAGGGGAGGGTGGCTGTGGTTGAACTTGGTATGGGGTTTCCATCTTCAGCAGCAGTGCCATGTCAAGATTAGTGTGCAATTCCTCTGGTAGCAAAGGTAGGTTTGTGGTCACCAGATGGGGGCGCTTTAGTGCTAGTGTTAATGAGCCTCCCTGCTTTAAATGAGTCAAATGTGTAAATCCTTGGTTGTTCCTTGGATCCACAGATGCATTTTTTCCCATACACAATGTCGGGCAGGGGTGGGAAACTTGTGCCTCTCTAGAAGTTGTTGGAGCCCAGCTCCCATCATCCCTGACCATTGGACTTGGATGGTGGGGGTTAATGGGAGCTGGAGGGCCACTGTTTCTGAAGCACTCCTTTGGGGTTTCACGGCCCATCTGTGCATCCCTCCCTGCATGGTGGGCTTCTCTTTCTGCAGCAGAACTTGATTTCATGCCTACTGTTATTTCCAAACCATCTGCCTCCTCTGTCAACTGAGCTGTGCCAAGGAAATCTGAGGGGTGGAGTTGACTTGGGTGAGACCTTCCCTTTCATTCTGCAGATTGCTCAGAGGTAGAAACCCTTGTGCTTTTCTCTACCCAGCATTGAATCTGATTGGCCCACGCGCTGTAGACGTCCTATCAGAGCTGTCCTATGCTCCGATGACCCCAGAGCACTTTCCATCCCTCTTTTGCAAGGTATGTCATGTGTTTTTCAGCTTGTTTTAGAAATCTGCTTACTTCTCATACAAAGGTAACCGGTTCACACAATGGCCTGGTTCACACACAGTACTAAGGTGTGGTTTGTTTAACATGAGTTAGCCAGGAGTTGTCCCACAGTCCAACAAACCATGGCTTGTTAAAGCTTGGTTTGTTTTCAGACTTCTCCTGCATTGTGCCTTTGTAGTTTGGGTCAGAGCGGCCAGTCAAACCACGGTAGAGGAAAGGTGCTGGATTAGCATGTTAATACCAAGCTGTAGTTAAAACAAACCAAGGTTCATAAGCCAACAACAAACAATGACTCTAGCTGCTGGGCAGCATTCACACATAACGCTAAGCTGTGGTTTAATAAGCCATAATGTTGTGGAGCATTATTTGTAAACTCAGAGGTCCTGTTTTGTGTATCTCTCTGCCTCTGCCTTTAGGTTTGTCACCTAAGACCACGCATAAGGCAGAATGGCTGGGGGTCGTGTTAATGTTGTGTCTCAAAGTGGCTTTATGTGATGCTCTGGTTTTCAAACTGTCCTGGAGAAGCCTGGCTTTCTTCCAGCTTTTTATGGATTTGTGATGTGTAGCCAAGAGTGTTGTTGTTGTTCATTGCCTGCCCTTCTCCCTAAGGTCCCAAGTCAGGTTACAACATTAAAATACAATATTAAGATTGCTGCTGGGCATACTCTTAGTTTGCATGGGGTGGTGGTGAGTCCAAGCAGTTCTAGACAGTGCCTTGTGCAAGCTGAGACTATGTCATTGAATTCAGCATACAATCTGTGGTGCAAACATGGGGGCAGGGCTTCACTCAAAGTTGGAAGAAGGCTCCTTAAAGATAGGACACTTTGTAGACTGGTGTCTTTGTGGCAGGCCTCATACAGAGTTCAAATCTTGGCCAATTTGCAGGGCACAGGTTGTGCGTTTACCAGGCAAAGTGTTCTGCCATGTCTTCGTCTTGCTGAATATTGCAATGATTACATTGCAGGGGGTTGCTTGCCTGTTCTGTAGCAGTTCTCAGATCAGAGAATATCTGTGGCTTGAGGACAGGGGTGGATGCATTTATGAAGGGTGCCTTAATTAATTATTCTCTGTGCTGCTGCAATAACATCTGGAGGACACCCTTCTAGCTACCTTTGTCCTACATCATTCAAAGTGCTTTACATTATTGGTAATACAACAGGCCTATAGGAAACTCTTTATTGTTGCAAATAAGGCAGGGAGAGGGCAGTTGAGGCTGAGAGAGAGCAGCTGGCCTAAGGCCAACTAAGTTTTTATAGCTAAGGTGAGATTTGAACTAGGCCTTCCCTGATATGTAGCTCTCTTTTCTTTTATCTGCCATGCTTACTCAGTACAGTGGCTCGTTTCATGCTTCAAAACATGACCCTCCTTCCAGCACCAGAAGGAATGTTCATTCTGTAAGGCTAGCTGGAAAACCTACAGTGGGACCTCTGATGCTCTCAATGTCAATGAGCCAGTGAGGATATATCCTCCTAATTACACCCTGGTGGTGGTGCTGATCACAAACTGGCTGCCCACAAACAAATTGTAAGAGACGCTTTTGTACACTGCAGAAACAGGGAGTGGTTTGGAATGCCCCGAGTCGTTCTGTCCAGCGTGTAAAGCTTGGGAATTTATTTTTTCAAGTTTTTTTATGGGTGTAACTTTTTTTTAAAAAAGTCTTCCTCTCCTCTCTCCAGCATATACATGAACCTTCTGTCCCCAGACAGAGAATCTTGTGTCCAATCCTTGTGAATGGAGAATGTTATCGTGGAAATGGGCCTGACCTCTGGACTCCACCCTCAAAAATGAATCTCCAAATGCAGGGGTGGCTAATGTGTTTTTTTTAGCATGAGGGTCACATTTGCCATTTGAGGGGTTGCATGCACACACACAGCCCCCACTCCTGGACTGATCCATGCTAATCAGCTGTAGGGGGCAGTCATCACCTCCTTTCTGCTCATCAAATGATCAATCTGACGGTGGGCAGTGATTATTAAGGGGGGGCGCGAGAACCATGTAAGCTACCTTCAGCTCCTTGCATAAAAAGGTTGGGTTATAAATGCAACAAAATAAATAAATAAAAGACACCCAGGAACCAGAAGCCAGGCGCTTGGGGAGTCTTTTCTTGCAAGCTCCCAGCTGCTTGTGCTCATTGCAGAAGTGTTTTTTTTTTTTAAAAAAAAGATTGTATAATGTTTATTCTACCGTGTCATCTCTGCTTGCTTCTCTGGTGCTTAAGCTTCTTGATTGTCTCCTTCCTCTCAGTGGAGAGAGCGAACGGTTGCTCCCTCTCTTCTTGTCCTGGGTTGCCCATGTGCTTTTGCCAGCTTCCATTTTCTTCCTTTGCTTCCTGTTTCCTACAGGAGATGAGCGTGGGCTATGCCAACGGCATCCGTGTCATGAGCATGACGCACACCGGAGAACCGGGATTCATGCTCTACATCCCCATTGAGGTGAGAGGTGCATTGTCGTCTTAAGACCAAAACTTTAATATTCAGGACTGAGGAGAACCTCTTCCCCCTTTTTCCACGGGATGGTATATAAAGATCCAGAGTAAAAGACTTGGCTTAGAAGTACAAGATAATAATATCCATACTGTCTTCTCAAGCTCACCCGTTTGTCCCACTGTGTGTCTCAAAAAGGAGATCTACCTGTTGGGACCTAACTTTCCTCGCTTTCAGGCCACATTGTGAGCAGGAAAGCATCCAGTCAGAATAGGCCCATATGAATTGCACTTTGCTAGCACGGGCAAAAGGTCCATTTAAACCAAGCTACCTAAATATACTCAGCTTATAGGCAGGACATGTTGTTTGCCTTCAGCATCAAACAGTGTCAGAGGTACTCTACCTCTTAATTAGAAAGGCTCCATTCAGTTTGTCAAATTGTTTTTATCCATTGATAGACAAATTTACAGAGAGTCGCTAATAATCTGTGAACTCTGCCTTGCAATATCAGGCCAAGGCAACCGTGAGCTGGCTGGGTCTGCTGAAGTCCTAAATCAAAGCATCTGGAAGGCACCAGGTTGGGGGAGGCATTGCTACTACTTATTTTGTAAGGAAGAAATGCTTTTTTAAAAATCCCCAAAAGGGGCATAACTTGGCATTAAATTCTGCCTGCAAAAGCCACTACAGGCAGCCTTTGGAACTGGCCACAGGGAAAATGCAATCAGATTCTTACACTAAACAACTACCTAGAGCAGGCATAGGCAAACTCTGGCCCTCCAGATGTTTTGAGACTACAATTCCCATCATCCCTGACCACTGGTCTTGTTTGCTAGGAATGATGGGAATTGTAGTTCAAAAAACATCCGGAGGGCTGGAGTTTGCCTATGCCTGACCTAGAGCACTGAGCAATCTCTTTCTCCTAGGGCATAGTTAAAACAAGCCGCTTTTTGTAAGGCAACATAGCTTCAGATTGTGGTTTTTGTGACAGCAAAAGGTGGAAGCTGCTGGGCAAAGTTTGGATGAGCAAACAAATCATGGTTTGATAAGCCATATAAACCACGGCCAAGTGTTATGTGCAAACCAGGCTATTCAATGCTGTTTGCTGGGCTTGGGTGGAGGGACGTTATCATCCGCAGCTTTCTGCAGCTGTCCAAGGGCTGCTGCCATTTTTCACTCTCTAGAGTTGCAGATGCCAAATGTTGCATTCAAATCCCTCTGTACTGTTTTTCCAAACCCTCCCCTTGCAGTATGCTCTGCACGTGTACAACGAGGTGATGAGCGTGGGGCAGAAGTACGGGATCCGGAATTCTGGCTACTACGCCCTCCGCAGCTTGCGCATTGAGAAGTTCTTTGCCTTCTGGGGCCAAGATCTGGATGCTTTCACCACGCCGCTGGAATGTGGGCGCGAGTTCCGGGTTAAACTAGAGAAGGTGTGAAAGAGAGCTGGGCCATGGGGCGTGTGTGTTTGTGTGTGGCACAGAAAAGGCAGGCTGCCTTGAAACGAGCGCAACACAACCTCCCTGCAGTGTGGGCATCATGTTTGCCTTGGGGCTGGGGGAAGTGGATTCAAACCCCATCCTAGCCATCAGTTTCCTGGGTGGCACAGGGCAAGTCACTAATTTGTGGGCTTCAGCTTCTCTTCCGTTAAGCTGCAACAGCAACGTAGGAGGTGGAAGGTACCCCAAGGGTCATCTAATCCAAGCCCGTGCAGTGCAGGAATCTCTTGGTTCCTTGTAGATAAGTTCCCCATAGAATATGAAGCAGGAGCTGTCCCTTTGTCCAGCCCTGACTGATACTCCCCCCCCCCTCCGCTCTCTCTCTGCAGGGCACTGACTTCATAGGGCGGGAGGCGCTGATGCAGCAGAAGCAGGAAGGGGTCTACAAGCGCTTCATCATGTTCATCCTTGAAGACCACGACACAGACTTGGACCTGTGGCCCTGGTGGGGGGAGCCCATCTACCGGAATGGCCAGTACGCCGGCAAGACCACCAGCAGTGCCTATAGCTACACACTGGAGCGGCACGTCTGCCTGGGTTTCGTCCTGAACGTGGACCCAGAGACCGGTGAGGAGCAGCCGGTGACACCCGACTTCGTCAACCAGGGCGAATACGAGATTGATATCGCAGGGCAGCGCTTCCAGGCCAAGGCCAAGCTTTATCCCTTCAGCTCCCTCTTCACCACCCGCCGGCGCAAGGATGAAATGGAGTTCAGTGGCTTCCAGGGGAAATAACTCAGTGCTGCATCTTTCAGACTTTTTAACGCTGCTGCTCGTTGGGACTTTGTATAGCCCCTCTGGTCTGTTACATTTTGTATATCATAACACTTCCCCCCACCCCTTTTCCTCTCCTTCCATACATATCTCTTCTTTTCTGCTCATCCTGGTTGTTTTCCAACATTGGCTGAAGCCCCTGAGCTCCAGGCCAAAAGGGCTCTGTTGCGTCCTGAGCTCCAGCCTCCACTTGTCCAATCAGCAAGGACTCCTGTGCCCTGAGAACATTGGCTGTGGCCTGGTGGGACTTCTTGCGCTTGGAAGCAGCCTCGGGCCCTTGGGATCTCTCCTCTCTTGCAACGTGTCACATCACCCCAGGGCCCATCAGGCACCTGTGCACCAACACCCAGTGGCCAGCCCTTGTCCTTTGCAGTTTTCTTCCTTGTGCTGCCTGTTGGAGAGGCCAGCAGGCATTGTAAGGTAACAGCGAGTTTTTCTCCATGTTAGGAGTGGGTGTGAGCAATCTATGAGCTGCACCACATAGGGTCAGCATCCTACAGAAAATTTGGCTTCCCTGGAATGGAGTTGCCTGGGTCAGCATCCTACAGAAAATTTGGAGTCCCTGGAATGGACTCCTCAGTGTCTATGGATTGTGTGGCTGAGGGTGCTTGCTTCTGGGTTTGCAGAATCCCCCTTCCCTTCTGCTTTGTTCTTCTTTGTGTTCAGTCTTGGATTGGTTGGTTGGTTGGTTGTGCAATATATGGTGTTCAAAACCCTCACCTGTGCCACTTAGGGGCTGACCAACCTTTAGTCAACAGGCCTGTAGTTGCTTAGAGGTTGGGGCTGAGGGCTGTGGGTGTAAGCTGCACCATCTTAACAATGGCTGAGCCATGGGTTGTGTCTTGGCTTTGTGTTGGCACCCACCCCCCCATCCAAGTCCTGTGGGTAAGTGGTTGGTCACCTTTGCTTGGCCCCAGAATGGCTCTCCTCCTTCCCAGCACTCGCCTCCTCTGCAGCTGCTGAGACCAGAATCTTGCATGCCATCTTTCACAAGGAGGGCTGTCCCATCTCAGGCTTTAGGGAGTGTTTGTGTTGGGTGGAGGGAAGAGTCTCAGTCTTCTCACTGTCATGGAAATGATTTGAGGCTGGGGTTTCTTTAAGCCAGGGAAATTTGCCCTGAAAGGCAGGCATGCCATGCCAAAGAGTGTGACCTCTGGCCACTTGCAGCAGTCCAGTTAGCTGTCACTGCAAACAAGAAAAGGGAAACTGATCTTGAGGAAAGAGGCAGGGCATCTGTGCCTTGCAAATTCTCCCAGCAATATAGATCGGTGGGATTTCATGCTGCCACGGCTCCCTTTGAAAAATCCTTTCGACTGGCTCCCTGAGGCTGCTTTGTGTCTTTCCCTTCCTCCCTTTTTTCTACACGCCAGGCAACTCTTCTCTCCTCCTGTCTGAGTTGCTTGACGTATCATAATGTTGCTGACCATTACCCATGCAATGTTTTTCAGTGCTGCTGCCCTTTCCGAGGGCAAATGCCTGAGGTCCCTGCTCCCATGCTCCAAGGTTGCCAGTCAGCAAAAAAAAAAAAAGTCTAGATAGGGTCTTCTGTGTAGATGTCTCTTGAACAGAGTTCCTTGTAGCACTGATCCTGAGGCCTTGGGCCTGTCAGAAATGGCTCCTCACACAAGGAGAGGCAGAACTGAACATTTCTCACAGCCGGCCTCAGCTGCTGGGAGAGGAGACTGAGAGACTGTATTACCAAGACTCAGGCAGGACCCCCCAAAACAGCAGCACAGATGGCGAGGCTTCCTCAGCATCTGCCCCAGGAAGTGTGTGAGATGCAGCTGAAGCCAGCTCGACCAAAGACCAGATGGTCCCTTTGCTCTCCCCCTTCTAATTGTGTTGCTTCCCATTTATTTTTCATAAATGGACGGGGAACTTTTACAGTGAGCTTAAAAGGACTTGCTACTTGCTGTGTGTATGACCATCCCATTTCGGCTTCTAGGAGCTTCTCAAGGCTCCCCTCCCCACGCTGTTTCCCAAACATGCATAAGTTTTAAAGTCCCTCCCACATCACTGTCAACTCTCGTAAACAGCAGGGTTGGTTTTGTTGCTAAATTTCTGGCCAGATGCAAGTAAATGGTACAGGGGCCTCCTTGCCTGCAGCTACCTTTGCACCAAAGACAAAAGTTTTGCAGGGGGAATTCATAGCAGGCAGACAAGGCAGGAAGGCAGAGCAGAAGTCCTTGAACATGAAGGCCATCCTTGTGACACCTGCAAGGCCCTACCCAGAGCAGCCTCCACAATCCTGCAGAGTTTGGGTCTTCTGCCTTTTCCAAAATAATGTTTTGAGGGATTCCTTATCTAACAGTCTCTCTCACTCACTCCTGGTTCTTCCCTCCCTGCTCCTAGAATCACTCCTTCAATACTCACTCCCTTTTCATTCTCAGATGCACTTTAAACACATTTGTTCATTTTGACCTTGATTGCCAGCCCTCTGTGATCATTCCTTCATGGAATCAACTCCAAAACTAGCAGAGGTGGTTTTTGTTTTTTTAAGCATCATTATTAAATTAAGAGCACTTGCCAGCATCTCTTCTGTGGAACAGGCACCGGAGATCTGGAAGCTGAGCGAATCCTCCCCTTCACTCTGGAGTGCCTTACGCCTCATGAATGTTACCTAACGGAGGGAGCAGAGTCGTGCCTCAGCTCCATCCTGTATCAAAAACTCTGCTGCTTGGCTGCAGCAGGCCACCATGGCAGGATTCTTGGGATGCTCTGGAGCCTTCTGACCCTCTCTGGGTGTCGCTGGCATCGACTGCTGTTGCTGCGCCTGCACCTCTGCAGAGAGTGTATATCTGTCTGGACTGGAAAACCAGGACGTTGGGAGATGCCCTGCTCCTCTTCCAGTGGAAGTTCCCAAGGACTCCTGGTCCAAAGCGCACAAAGGCGGGGGAGCAGCTTCCTTTCCTGTCCAACCGGGAAGCCTGCATCTTCATCATGCAGCATTTCTGCAGATATATTTCCTGTCCCACTTTGGTTTTCAATGCTACCTGGTTTGTATATCAATAAACAGTTGTTTTACCTACTGTTGCTGCAGAGTCTGTGACTTGTTCCCCAGGCCTGTCCAGGAGACTGGCTGACTTCTGAACTTGAACTCCCCAGCCTTTCTCAGTTTGCTGTCTGTGTGAGAGAGATTTCTGAGCCCGGTCTAATGCAGCAACCCTAACCTAGTACCCTCCAGGCTTTTTGGACTATGGCTCCCATCAGCCCCAGTGATGGGAAGGCTGTTCTGATGTCCCCAACCCCAGTTAAGCAGCTTTTATTGGGGATTACTGGCTAGCTGCATGTGGGACAATGGGAAGTGGAGTTTAGGGGGCCTCCACTTTGACTCTTGCCTGGGCCATAACTTCACCAGACCTTTAGCAAGCCAGTCCCTCTTGACCTCAGCCCAGAGGGACTTAATATCCCTTTAGTAACGTTGGTGCCCATCCTTACACCCTCACATGGGCCACCCTTTGTTTTAACTTTTGCTCCAGCCACACATGATCTAGCAAGGGGTTGCCAAACCACGCGAGGAATCTGTACCTCACAGCAGCTTTGCCTGCATGTGACTCAGATTGCATGTGTGGCATCCGGAACTGATGTTTAAGGTAGCAGTAGGTGCTCCTTCAGTGAACTATCTTGATGCTTGTAACTGAAAACAAGAGCATAAGAAGAGCCTACTGGATGAGGCCAGTGGCCCATCTTGCCCAGCATCCTGTTTTCACAATGACCAACCAGATGCCTGTGGGAAAGCTGCGAGCAGGATCCAAGCACAAGAGCCCTCTCCCCTCCTGTGGTTTCCAGCAACTGGTACTCAGAAGCATTGCAGTTGTTCATGGAATATCTTCAGGTCACAGCCATTTGCAGTGGGTGGGTGAGGGCAGAGGGAGACTTCAGAGGGTTGGCACTGGGTGTGCCTTATAAACCAGTGGTGTCCCGATACACCTGCAATGCACAATGCAAGCCACTTGGAGGGCCATTTAATGGTTATTTAAGAAAGGTAATATTCTCATTCTATGAACCTCTCTTTCCCCTACAGGGACTGGAGAAGAGTGGGATTTGGTCTTTGTTTAGAAATTGGGTGGCAGGGGCTCTAGGCATCCTGTCCCTTCCCCCAACTGTCCTGCAGTTAATGCTGACCTTTGCTTTTGTGTAATTTTTAGATTTCCAACCTGATTTCTTTAAAACCAGGTGACTATTGCTAGTCAAACAAACAAAAAGAACAAACTCCAAAAACTTCCATCAACAGGTAACTCCCAACATGGGACCATGCCTTTTTATCTGTCCCTTGGAAACGCCCCCCCCCCCAATTGGTCCTCCTTGGTATACCCTCCTTGAACGTTTTTGCCTGGTCACTGTCCACCTCCCAACTCTTCTGGGCTTAGTCTGACTTGTACTTGTGTTTTAAAACATGTAAGAAAGAGAGAGAGAAACAACCGCAAACGAACTAGAAATGCTTTGTAATGCTGGAAGGCACAGGCTAAGAACTACATCTTGCAAAGCACCCAGGTCCGTCTCTTGAGTCCAGGCATCTCTTGCCTACAGTTCTCCCCTAGCATTGCAAAGGATGCTTCTGTGCTGGTGCCATTCTTCACACTTTGGTTATTTGCCTTTTGATTTCTGGGGACAGAGCCTCTTCTGCGACTCTTTTTGGTAAGACTGGAGGAACCCCCCTCTATTTTTTCCGTAACTGGCTCCTGCAATGGTGGGAAGACGTTCTTGCTGTGGCCATGGGGCACCCCTGTTAATACTGGTGGGTTTGATCCCTTTGCCCAGTCGGGACTGAAAAATGGGGCTGCACTTTCAAGCACAGATGCCCAGCTTCTGTCAGCTGTATCTGGGAACTGTGTTGTGCCTTCCTTGCTCTGTCCCCCCAAGATGGGGGCACTGCCCATATAGTGACAGAGATGGGAGAGGGGACCAGTCCAGCATGGAGTCTTTCTCCAAGGGGCACAGAGGGGTGGATACATCCAGCAAGGTGGCTTTTCGGCCCCTTTTGCAGCAGACTAGTGCATTTCAGAGGAAGCCAGACTTGCATCCTCCACAGCTGCTGATGCTCTTCTATGGGACTGGTGAGGATGCAGCTCAGAATTCGTACTGGGAAACGAAGACTGTGATCTTGAAGATGTGTTTCCCCAGGAGGGTCTTCCGGGCAAACTCGCTCATCTCCAGCTCCACCTCCAGTGTCGTCGGCCCCACGGCTGGCCGGGTGAGCACCAGTTCCCCTGTGTGCTGGTCCAAGCGCTGCACAACCAGCTTCCCCTGGCTGTTGCCCCCTAAGATGCTGAAGCGCAGGCTGTCTCCCACAAAGCGGCTGGTGGACATCTTGAAGAGGACCCTGGGCACAGTGCGGTTGGACGGGAGAGGCAAGTAATGGAACGAGATGGAGTTGGCCGCCCTCTGACAGGCGTTGTTCTCCATGGGACAAGGGCTGCGCTCGCACTGCCTAGGAGAGGACATAGAAGAGGCACTCAGGCAGGGCCAGTTGGAGACATTTTGCCCCATCAAAGCAGGCCTGGATGGGGCCCCCAACATTCCCTATACCCAGAAACAGCTTTATTGCACAGAGCCAGACCTTTGATTCATCTAGCCTGGTACTGTGTCCTGAGCCTGGTGGCAGCCCATCCTGACCTGCTCCGCTACAGGAGATGCTGAGGACTAAACCTGGGACTTTCTGCGTGCAAAGTCATGGCCTGACCCACTGAGCTACTGGGATGAGTGGACCAAACATTAGGAATATCTTTGATGCAAGAGCTGTTGACAGTGGAATGGACTACTGTGGGAAATGGTGGACTCTCTTTCATAGGAGGTTTATAAGCAGAGGTTGGATGGCCATCTGTCAGGGATTCTTCAGCTGTGATCCCTGCATTGCAGGGGGTTGGACTAGATGGCCCCTAGGTGCTCCCAACTCTACAATCCTATCTTTAATGGATGCCAGTCTAAATAACAAATTGGGGGGCTTGCACCCAGTGAGATAGAAATAGCCAAGTCCTGCTGGCTTTGTGGAGCCTCTGATTGGCTTAATAAGTGGTTCTGTAAATAGAAAATAGGAGGGGCGTCTTTAGACTCCAGCCCCCATCTGCTACACTGTGCCTCTGGAATATATTCCTCAGCCTTTCCAATGTGGCAATGAGGCTTGCTGGGGAGGAGGGAATTTCAGCGGTGCCAGTGCAAGTCCCTCCCTTCTCCATAAGGCTCAATGCTGTGCAGGGGCTCGTAGAACTATAGAGTTGGAAGGGACCACGAGGGTCATCTAGTCCAACCCTGGGCAATTCAAGAATCCTTTGACCAGCATGGGGCTCAACCCCACGACTCTGCAATTAAGCGTCTCATGCTCTGCCGACTGAGCTATTCCAGACTCTTGGTTTTTGTTTGGCCAGGAGAGAGAGAGAGAGAGAGAGAGAAGGGAAGAAAGCATTGGGAGATTGTTGGGAGACTGTATAAGAGCATAAGGCAAGCCTGCTGGACCAGCCCAATGGCCCCTGCTCTCAGGGGCCAACCACAGGGCCCCCAGCACAAAAACGCTCCTCCACCCCACATCAGGGCTTCCAGCAACTGGCATTCAGAAGCTTTATAGCCACCCTGGCTGATAGACTTATTCCCCCATTAATTTGTCTAACCCTCTCTTAAAGATGTCTAGGTTGGTGGCCATCGCTGTGGGAGTGAGATCCACAGTTTAACTATGTGCGATACAACAATGTGTTCACATCAGCTGAAAACAGTCCCTGGTCAGTCGATTCCCACAGCATCTCAATCCATACGGCATGAAAAGTGGGATGGCCACCATCTCTGGTCTGGCTCAAGGGGGAGAAGAGCGAAGGGAAGCTCTAGGGGGCATTGGGGTGAAGGCTCTGGGAGGCTACGAGGTGCTTCTGCCCAGCGCTGCAGACAGGGAGTGGAGCAGTTGCTGGCAAAGGCTGCTGCTTCCATCCTGAGTGAACTCTAGCGCTTGTACTTACATGGCTGAAGTCTTGACGTAGCTGATATTGAGTTGGGCCTTGGGGCATTCGGGCCGCACACAGCGGAAGCCCCCAAAGACGTTGATGCAGGTCTGTCCCTGGCTGCAGTTGTGCTGGTTCTCTACGCACTCGTCCACATCTTGCAAACACAACAGGGAGAGTTTGTTTGACGCCATGCCCTCCTTCAGCCTCCTAGAACACACAGCTCAGGGCGGTTCCTCTCCCGGCTGACCCCCAATTATTCTCTCTCACCCCACCCCCCGCAAAGGCACTCACCGTTGCATGAATTGGTGTCACCCTGGAGCTGGTAGCCATGGGGACAAGTACACCGATAGGCTCCAGGCAGGTTCACACATTTGTGGAGGCAGATGCGGGTGTGGCGGCTGGTCTGGAAGAGCTTGCACTCATCGATATCTGGAGGGGAGGCAGCAAGAAGTCTGCTGAGTGACCCTCCAAGGGCAGAGCAAAAAGGGACTTCCAGCCCCTGCTCAGCACTTCTGGAGATCAATGCCCAGGCGATGGCAAGCTCACCAAGCAAGGAAGGGCTACAACCAATGATGACTTGGGGGGGGCAGTTTGGCTGAGAGGCAGCCTGTAGACAGGCACCTGGAGTTTTTTGCTTCAAGGATCAGACCCCATGAGCACAAATTGCCCCTCTGCACACCAGCACAAGCTGCAATGAGGTCCACTGAACTGGAGAAAAGACACTCTATTGGGGCAGAGCTAAATTGAGGCATGATCTTGTGACTGTTGCTTCCTGGGAATCTGATACAGTGCTTGGAACCAAAGCAGAGCCCTGAAGCTGGATCAGACCAAAGGCCTGCTAGGCCAGCAACCTGAATCCACAGTGGCCAGCTAGATGCTTTCAGGAAGCCCATCAGCAAGGCTTGGAGGCTATTAGCCTCCTCCTTTTCTGCTCTCCTGCTACTAACATTATTTGCTTCCCATCAGCGGAGGCTAAAAAAGGGTCTGATTGTATTACCAGGAGATGACAGCGCCTTCCACCCCATTTTAAAGCCATGTCTTTGGCCTATGCTCTTTAGATATAGTAAGGGAAAGTGTTCAGGCACTAAAAAGCTAACAAAATAACTTGGCCACAGCTGCCCTTGCCTAGAGTACTGCCTGCTGGTCATAACAATGGGCATTTTGGTAATGCAGAGTAATTGGGCTAGTGCCTGAATCAAGAGGATGGTGCAATCCAGGCAGAAAACTCCCAAGGTGGGAATGCAAAAGGTAAAAAGGAGTCCCCAATGGATCAGATTAAGGAGCTCCATCTTGTTTTGCCTTCCCCCCAAGCTGCTGCCCTCCAGAAGCTTTGGACTTCAGTTCCCATCAACCCAGCCCTGCAAACATCTGGAGGCCATCAGGCTGGGGAAGAGATGCTCTAGTTCAAACTGAGATCCATTTAGGGCAGCACCCTGATCTAGACCAGCCTATAGCTCACTGGCAGAGCATCCGCCTTCCCAGGTTCAATTTCCAGCAGCGTCTCCAGGCAGCGTTGGACAGACTCCTTGCCTGAAATCTTGGAGAGTAGCGGCTAGTCACTGAGCTAGATGGACCAAGGGTTTAACTCGGTATAAGGCTTCCTATGTTCCCTGAGATAGTCTCCAGGAAGACCACAAGGAGCCAGGCATGCAGGCAACAGGTGGGTTTGTCCCCAGTGCTATGTGGCATTCAGCCCAGGACAGATATATGTAGAAAAGATTCCCCGAAGGAAGAAAGTCCAAAGATCCCTGCCTTGCGTGTGGGAAGATGGCAAGGGGAGGAAATCCCTCTGTTTCTGGGAAGCAGAAGACACCAGCTCTGTTGACCTGCCAAGCCCACTTCCCCCTTACCTTGGCAGAGGCCTCCTGCCTGCATCTGGAAGCCAGGGTCGCAACTGCACTGGCGTGAGCCCAGGTAATTCTCAGCGCAACGGGGCTGTCGGCTAAACGACGAGTTGCTGAGTGTCGCCCAATCTGTGGTTGAGAGGCAGCTGTCAGTTCTTTGCACCAATGCCCAATAGAGTAAAGCAGCAGGGGACGGAGACCCCCAGCCGAGTCACACAGCACAGGCCTCTTATGAACCCCACTGCTCAGCTTAACCAAGCCGATGTGCAAACATCTCCAGGCACCCACCTCTCCTTTTCCCAGTCCCCAGGGTCTTTGCTTCCCTTTTCCGTCATGAGGACAGGGGTACCGCAGCCCCTGCTACTTACAGGAGTACAGTGGGGCTTGGCAGGTGCTGCCTGACCAACCACTGGGGCACAAGCAGCTGTAGCGGTGGATGCCATCCACGCAGGTCCCGCCATTGGCACAGGGGTTGCTGGCACACTCGTTGATGCCTGAGTTGAGGAAAGAAGGGAAGGGGGAAACTGAATTACACTCAAACAGCCGTCATTTTGGATCAGCAGAGGGGAAATGGAGAACCTCTGAGCCCATGCTGCTCATCAGAATTGGTTTTCAGTACAGTGGTACCTCGGGTTAAGTACTTAATTCGTTCTGGAGGTTCGTTTTTAACCTGAAACTGTTCTTAACCTGAAGCACCACTTTAGCTAATGGGGCCTCCTGCTGCGCGCACGATTTCTGTTCTCATCCTGAAGCAAAGTTCTTAACCCAAGGTACTATTTCTGGGTTAGCGGAGTCTGTAACCTGAAGCGTCTGTAACCTGAAGCCTCTGTAACCCGAGGTACCACTGTACAAGAATGGAGTAGAGCTCACAGTCTTTCCATGTAAATGTCAATTCCTTGTTAGTTCCTTCACTTGGAAAGCCATGTTATGGTTACAAAAAAATTGCAGGCCCAATTGGGAAAATTGGCCAGAGATCGACCTGTAGGTCTATCAGCAGGAGTGGGGGCTGTTAGGAGGTGCCCCTCCCCATTTTTATGATACCTGGCAACCTCAAGCTATTCCTTCTATCAGCCAGGACACACTCACCTTTGCAGACAGGCTGCTGTCCGCTCCACTTGTGGTTCTCCTGGCACACCCGTGTCTCAGCACCCACCAGGAGGAAACCAGCATCACAGACAAAATGTACCTCGTGACCCACGGACGTCCTCTTTCCCAGCCTCCGGCCGTTCAAGGGTGCTGGCAGGGGGGTGCAGCTCTCTGTTGGCGGATCAGAAAAGATGGGAGAGTGAGTCTCCCCATGGCTCCTTTCCCCAGGCTCTTTTCCTATCCTAGCCTATGGTTGTTGCTTTCTTGTATACATTAAGTAGCAAAATGCCACTTAAATGAAATAGTGTTATAGCCAAGGCTGGGGCTCTCATGAGGCAAACTAGGCAGCTGCCCAGGGCACAGACCTCAGAGGAGCTCAGTACTGACCTCTGAGGTGCACGGTTTTATATAGCTCTGTTTTTATTATATCTTACACATTTCTGATAATATCTTGCTTTTATTTTATATTGTGAAGAGTTTTATCGTTTCTGAAGTAAGTCATACATTAGAATTGTTTTTCATGTAGATATGAAATAGACCACAGTTGACTGGAGGTCACACATAAAGTGAAAAGTGAGATTTTGATGTGCCTGAAATTGAAACTTTTAAGAGACTTAACATCACAATTCACAATAAATTCCAACTTTAGTATTGGAAAAAGATAATCAAAGATGGTTGCATTACTTATTCTTTCAATTAAAAATAAATTCAGCATAAATTGACAGCAGATAAATTGTGCTTTTCAATTTTTTCTACAAGACATCTGTTTTTGAAAACTGAAATTGGCATGGGGTGTGTGTGCTGTGTGCAAGTGATTAGCTTTGCCTAGGGTGCAAAATAGTCTGGCATCAGCACTGGGTGTAGCATTGCAACATTATCTTTATATGTTTTTAGCTTTTTGCTTTTTATCTGGGTTGCTTTACTTTGTGTAAGCTGAGTCCCAATCTGGTCCAGGATGGGATATAAATAAATATAAAAATAATAGTAATAGATGAGTTTTTAAAAACCCTGAGTTGTATGCAACTTAATAATAATCATAATTTTGAAATTTATATCCTGCTGGGTTTCCCCAGCCACTCTGGGCCTCTTACAACATATAAAAAATCCTTTTTTATACTGCCGCTATATCTGAATTGTCTCTGTTATACCCAATTGCAATTCAATGTATTCCTGTTGTGTTTTATGATTTTCCTGATATTGTAAGTGACCCGGAACTGGTCTGTGACCATAATAATAAGATTCATTCATAAAAACACAACAAAGCATCAACTTGATTCTACTTACAGTGCACCCACTGAAAATAATGAACCCAAATTAATCATGTCTATTAAATTCAATGGGTCTACTATGAGTAGAGCTCCCACTGGAAACAATTCCCCCTTTCCAGTCCCCATTTTTAAAGAGGTGATCGGATGCAGTGAAAAGCCATCCCCTAGACATTTACAAAACAAAACAGCCTCAGGGTTGCCCTGGGTCCTGCACACATCATGTGCACACACAGACACCCTTCTGCTTCTGCAGTCTGCGCTTCTCTCTCCTTTTACCATTGTGCTTGGCTGCCTGCTGGTGGAGACTGCCTTGCAAAACGGCCAGCTGCTTTTTGAAGTTGCGCAGGCTTTGCAGCTGGGCAGCCTCATGTGAAGACAGCAGCTTCTGCATCTGCCGGATGGCACTGGAAACTTGCTGGTCACTTAGGCAGCCCTGCAGGGGGTTGGGGGAGAGAAGGAACAAAGCAGCTTTGGCAGGGAAGTAGAAGGAACAGCCCACAGGTATCACCCACAAAGGCTCATGGCAAATTGTAACTGATGCTGCACGCACACCCAGAAGCACCCACCCACCACCGCTGCAGAGGCTCCATCCCTTGTTCATTTTGGCTGCCCTTTTCTGAACCTTTTTTTACCTCTGCAATATCCTTTGGGTGGCAAGTACAGAATGTTCAGATCAGTAGTGGCCAAACTTGCCCCTCCAGCTGTTTTGGGACTACAATTCCATCATCCCTGACCACTGGTCCTGTTAGCTAGGGATGATGGGAGTTGTAGTCCAAAAACAGCTGGAGGGTCAATTTTGGCCACCACAGGTCTAGATGGTGCCCCCAGGCCCACAATCCACACTATAGGCAAGATCAGGCCTCTGCATCCAAGGCATGCAATCTGGCCCAGAAAAAACATTTCTATGACATTCCTGTTCTAAGTCCCCACACTGCCCATTGCTGAAGTTTCATACACCAGCCTGTCTAAGTTGAGGGTGGTGAGAAAATGTTCTGCTTACAACCTTAAGCCATGCTGGATGGGGGTGATGGGAATTAGAGCCCCAAACATCTGGTGGGCACCAGGCTTGGAAATCAGGGAGGGATTTCATCCATCCATTACATTTATATCCCACCTCTCCTCCAAGAAGCTTAAGGTAGCCAACATACTTCTCTTTCCCATTTTGTCATCACAACAAGTGGTTGCTTGGCTTGACAAGAGCTTTAGCTTTGAACTCCACTCTTTCATCTATCAGGGTCCACTCCTATGGACCAAGCACATCTGGGCTCTGCACCCAAACCTACAGGCAACATCGCCTGCCTCCTACTGGTTCCACACCACCAGCCCTCTCAGGTTCAGGATTCAGCATCATTTATCTTACCTGGGAGTTGCTGTGAGGCAACTGTAGGATACCCAGGGCCACCACAGCCATTATCTGGGGCAGCATCTTCCTTCCAGCGTTGGAGCAGGTTCAGCAGTTAGGAAAAGGACAGTGGATTCTCTGAAAAGCTTCCTCAGCTATCCTTGGTCAGCAAAAAGAAGGAAGGGGAGTCTGTGAGAGGGCAGCTCGTGTTCCACCCGCATAAGGCAGGCCTTCCAGGTGTCTTTCCAAGGAAGGAGGTGAGAGGTATTCTCAGAGCACTGCAAACCTCAATATTCCCGTTCCCAACCTGTGAGCCACCCTGTTCCACTCCACAAAGACATTCTGGCAGCAGTGCAAACAGAGATTGCCAGATGACCATGATTTAAGAGCCTGGCCTGCTCCTGTACCTTAATTAAGGTAAAGGTAAAGGTCCCCCTGCCCGTACGGGCCAGTCTTGACAGACTCTAGGGTTGTGCGCTCATCTCATTCTAGAGGCCGGGAGCCAGTGCTGTCCGCAGACACTTCCGGGTCATGTGGCCAGCGTGACAAAGCTGCTCTGGCGAGCCAGCGCAGCACACATGGAAACGCCATTTACCTTCCCGCTAGTAAGCGGTCCCTATTTATCTACTTGCACCCGGGGGTGCTTTCGAACTGCTAGGTTGGCAGGCGCTGGGACCGAGCAACGGGAGCGCACCCCGCCGCGGGGATTCGAACCGTCGACCATGCGATCGGCAAGTCCTAGGCACTGAGGTTTTACCCACAGCGCCACCCGCGTCCCCTGTACCTTAATTAGCACAGAAAAAAAAGCACAGTCACCTGCTGCTATCTAAAAACTATCACCAACAGCAGTCATTCCATCAGGCTGCAGAGCGAAGGGAGAAGAGGAAAGCACAGCTACTTTGTCAGCTCTGCTGAGAGACTTTCCTTGACTGTCAACAGATAGCAGCCATCCCATCAGGCGAGAAAGCCAAGGGAGGGAAGGGATGCAGGGCAACAGGCAAGGCTTTCCCCGGAGAAACCTGGGAACTGTAGTCTGTCAAAGGTCCTTTAAATGCAAGGTGTGTACATGCTCTTGGCTCTTTCCTTCATCTGTCTCCCCGCAGGAGCCGTTCCATCCGCCTTCAGCAGAGGGAGAGGCAGGAAGCAGGATACTCCATCGGCTCTAACATGAGACCAACTCTTTTGTCTCCTCTTCTGGTTGAGCTGCTCCCATCTCAGCTGGTCCTTATCTGAATTCTCTAGCTTTAAGAATGGGTGCTTTGGTTTGCTCCCCGACCCCCCCCCCAATCCATTTTGTTTCTTGTGTCTCTGAGACGGTAAGCCGAAGGACAGGGGCTCTTTTGTTTGGTTTGCCTTGATCTTACATAAGCTGCGCTGGGAGCCCTTTTGTCCCCCTTCTCGCTGAAGAGAGGGGCAAGAAAACACTTTGAATGAAACAAGGAAGATCAAACATCCTTAGAGCGGAAAGCCATTGACTCGGCCCCACCAGCACCCCGAGGAAGTGGATGGTGCGAAGGTGCTTTGTCCACAGGCTTAGCCATCCTGATGCCCTGCAGACGTTTCAGACTGTAACTCCCTTCAGCCCCAGCATCATAGGGCCATGTCAGTCGACACCTCTGGAGGGCACCCGGTTGGGGAAGGCTGCTCTGCTAGAATCCTTGCGATTTAACCCCTTCAGGGTTACAGTTTCCAGACTTCCTTGAGGGGACAGAATAACTCCTGAATCTCGTTTCAAGCCTGCAACGTGCACAAGAGCCTGGTTAGGCACTAGGAAACTGCTTTGCACTGAGGCAGACTAACGGTCCGCCTAACTCAGTATTGCCAACACTGACCAGCAGCAGCTCTTCAGACAGAGGACATTCCCAGCCCACGGATAGAACCCGGGACCATCTGCTCCACCCCTTGGCTACAATCCTAACGCCAAAGCGCACCCGGGACGCCCATGCCTTCTGCCAAGTGAGGCAACTGGTCCACCTAGCAGCTCAGCATTGCCTACACTGACCGGCGGCAGCGGTATCCCTAGCCTTCCCTGGAGACTATGCCGCTGGACCCGGGACGTTCTGCGTGCAAAGCAGATGTCCCGCCACTGCGCCCCAGCCTTTCTCCAAGCTGAAGGGCAGGGAGGAAGGCGCTTCTCCCCACCTCCACTTCAGGGAGTCTGGGAGTTTCGCGCCGAGCCGCTTTGCTGGCACAGACGCGCGCCCCTCGCCAGACCCTCTGGGTGCCCGGAGTCCCGCGAAAAGCAGCAGCCGAGCCAGCCCCCTTCGGGGGGAGGCGGGGAGGCCGCTGCCGCCTTTGCTTGCAGCGCGTGGGACCAGGCAGACCCTCCCCAGGAACCGAGACCCCCCTCCCCTCCCCTTCCAAGCCTGCCTCCCCACGAGTCTCTCTCCCTAAAGGCACCTCGAGGAAAAGTTGCGCCGACCTGCGGGGCGGCTTCCCTGGAAGGCGCGGCCGTCGGAGCAGCAGCAGCAGCAGCAGATGGAGCCTCCCCGGTTGCGCGCAGGAGAGCAAGCCCCGCGGCCGCCTTGCAGACTGGGAACGGGTCGCTCTTGCCCGCCCTGGCCGAGGCGGGGCGAGAGGTTGGCCTCGTTGGCACCAGCTCAACGGGCACGCCGGAGGCCCCGCGCGGCCCGGATTGGGCGGCGGCGGCGGCAGAGGGCTGGCGAGGGGAGCCCGGGCGGGTCAGCCGCGTGCCCAGAAGATGCCCGCGTCCGCCTCCCCTTCCCCCTCGGGGGGAGAAAGCGGCAGGAGTGCCAACTTGGCCCCGCGACTGTGGGTGCTCGGGGCCGTGGTGCCATGCAGCGTGCATGGTCCTGGCACCGAAGTTCATGGGGAATTTTGTGGTGCTCGGGCACCTATGGGAAGCGGATTGAGTGGGTGACCTCAACTGGGGCGCACCTTTCTTTCCCAGAGCGTCTAGGTCAGGGGTCAGCAAACTTTTTCAGCAGGGGGCCTGTCCACTGTCCCTCAGACCTTGTGGGGGGCCAGACTATATTTTGAAAAATAAAAAAAAAATGAACGAATTCCTATGCCCCGCAAATAACCCAGAGATACATTTTAAATAAAAGCACACATTCCACTCATGTAAAAACACGCTGAACTGGGACACACCGGTGCAAGCTGGGGATGGGGAAGGAGATGTTGGTGTAGGAAGTACTCACGGGGTGACAGAAGAGGACGAGGGGCTGGGGGTCAGTGCATAGGACCAGAGCAGAAGGACGCAACCCCAGAGCCAGAGGGGCCCCTGTCTCCAAGAACACACCAGGCGTTGAGGAGTAGGGAACACTCCAGGGGGCTGAGTCAGGCAAGGGCCCACAGCCCTACTCACTGGGCCAGGTGGGGCTTACTAGCTCTGGAAGCAGGTGTGTGATTCCTTAGCTGGAGTAGGCGCAGGACAGGTGAGGATCACCTGCCTCATCAAGCCCAGATGCTGCAATCAGCATGGAAAGTATTAAAGGGCAGCAGAGCTGAGGGGATGTGTCTGCTCAACTGCCCATGTCGATGGACCTCAGCTTGGATGCAGCAGGATCTCTGCAGGACTGTGCTTCAATTTTGGACCTTGGACATGTGGAGTGACCCTGGACTGGGAACTTGGCATACTGACTTGTTGCCAGGTGGTCCAGGGGCCCAGAACAGCATTCCACAAATGGGGAGCCACCACTGAAAAGGCCTGGTCTTGTGCTGCCACTCTCCACACCTCCTTTGGAGAAGGGCTTCAGACAATAAACACAGGGCCTGGTTTGGTTCATGTGGGGAGAGGTGGCACTGGGGTCCTGAGCCACATAAGGCTTTTAGGGCAAAGATGGCACTTTGAATTGGGCACAGAAACTAAGTTGAGGCTCTTGTGTAGAAATAAAAAGTGGTACCCAGGGCTGTTTCTCCTGCTTCTCCAGGAACATCATCTGATAAAGGCTCTCTGACAACTAGGTGAAAAGTCTGTGCACGAGGCAATTTTGAAGCAAACTCAGATGCTCTCGATCTGCTGGGGCTTTGGGCAGGGATCAAGCGTGAAACCTCAAGGAGCCCCTGTGCTTATGTACCTTCCCCTGGGAAGTGCAGACAGCCAAGGCTTCCTGACAACCAGGATTTGCAGGAAAGCCTTTGAATGTGTTGGAGTTTGATAAATAGGTATGCTGCAGCGGTGAGCAGAAAGAAATAAGATTGGTGAAGGGATAAGCCATGCAGAATGTCCCAGATTCAATCCCCAGTGTTTTCATGCAGGGGTGAGAGAGACACCTGGACAGAGTCGTACCTAGGCTCCCTTGTTCCCTTGGCTGCATCTTATGATAAATATAATAATCATAATCCCCAGCAGCACCCTCAGGTAGGGCTGATACCCTGGAGAGCAGCTGCCAATTACTGGAGACAATTGCTACCTGCTTTCTTATGTTTTTTTTAGTTCTAAATGAACCTTTGCAGCCTTGCGGAAAGGACTGGCAAAATCCGAGACCAGGGAGAAGAGTCGGTGGAAGAAGACTGGAAAAAGTTTAAAGATTATTTACAGAAATATTGTAAAATTAATGAATGTTAGAAGAATGTTGGAATGAAGTTATATGGCTTTAGTAGAAATGTTATAAGGAATTAAGTATAAATAGATTAATAGAATATTAAAGGAAAAATAAGGCTAGAATGTGTTAAGATAATTATAGGATAGCAAACAGAGGAAGATGGAAAGGAATTGCTGAAACAATTAACAGAAGTGGAATACAAAAAGGGAGGTGTGAGGAGGTCATGGAAATAAGTGAATGAAAGATAAGATACTGAAATTGATGTGTTTTAAACTGTTTTTGTTTGTTTTTGTTCTGTCTTGTTAGTTTAATGTGTTTTTTGTATTGTATTGTATTGTTCTTTTTTTATAGTGTTTAAATGGTTGGAAAAGTAATAAATATTATTAAAAAAAAGAACCTTTGCAGCCTTGGAGCATGGGTTGAGAAGCAAAAAAAAGATCAGCTTGGCTCAGATTTGCAACTGATCGAATCAGTGGAACATCCTGTAAAGCAAGGAAAGGGCCAGTAGGGGCTGGAGCAAGCCAGCTGCAAAAGCAAAGGAGCCCCATGGAATGCAGGCTGGTGCGAGGAAAGCGGAGCCTCTTTGCCCGCCCTTTCCGCCAGGCTGGGTCAGGAGAAACCACAGCTAGAAAGCAGCACTGTGTCCTCGGGAACAAGTTCCCAGAAATATACTCGGAAATTACAGGGGGCTGCAGTGCAAGTAGGGAGCTTCCAAGACCAGCAGGAAAGATCTGTATCTGCTCGAGAGGTGGTTATGCCAGAAATGCATGCGCGCACACAGGCAGGTCTATATGCCGAAAGAGCAGAACCCAGCCTCTAAGAGGGGAAGATCTGTGATCAGATTGCCCCATCTAATCAAGCCATCGCTTTATCACTGTCAGTGGCCAGTACTGAATAAAAGAAACTTTGCACAAATATGTCTAATACCAAACGAAACAACAAAGAGAACCCTAGCAATCAAATTACTAGTGGCTGCATTGTGCTATAAAACGCCAGAGAACAAAATTATAAGCTTGCTAAAATTAGTCCCAGAATGCTGAGCTCTCCTGGAAGTCAGAGTATACCTTTTGGGCATGGCATTCTTTGAGAGTTTCTCTCCTCTGCCACTTACACACCTAGAATCAGGCCCATGCAGAGCGGAGGACAGCCGGGTACACTTGTCCCTGGCTCCAGAGGGCCAAACTACGGGGGTGCGGGACACCAGCAGCCTGTTGGACTTGCGCTGTCATGCCAAGAACAAGACTCCCTCCCTGGGCCCCAGACAAGCTCTGCAGGGGCTTGCTTAGAACTCAAGATGCAACAAAACCAAGGTGGGAACTGCAAGAAATGTGGGGTGCAGTTGGATTGTTTGCTGACACTCTGCATTAATGTGCATAAAGCAGGCAGGCAGGGGGCCTTCAGGGGTGTGACAGGCAAGCAGTTGTTCTGTTGGGGCAGCCCATTTCTGCAAAGATACAAGTATAGGAGTATATACAGTGGTACCTCGGGTTACAGACGCTTCAGGTTACAGACTCCGCTAACCCAGAAATAGTGCTTCAGGTTAAGAACTTTGCTTCAGGATGAGAACAGAAATCGTGCTCTGGCGACGCAGCAGCAGCAGGAGGCCTCATTAGCTAAAGTGGTGCTTCAGGTTAAGAACAGTTTCAGGTTAAGAACGGACCTCCGGAATGAATTAAGTACTTAACCCGAGGTACCACTGTACTTGTAGGTCCTATGTGGATTTGCTGTCTGGTCTTCACACTTTTTTGGGACACACACACACACACACACACACACCCCTCTGCCCAAACCACATCACCCAACTATTGATATGGACAATGAAACTATGGATCCCAGGCGTGAAAGGAATTGTCCTTCCTCTGCAACCGGCTACATTGGTGCCTTGATTCCTGAGGAAAAGACCGTGAGGAAGTCATGCCAGGTTTATTCTGGGTCAGCTGTCATGGCCTGACCCAGACATTCCCACAATTTGGAATTTGGTAGGGGCCCTAAGAGGTCCCCAGCTCCCCACCATCACTGCAAAATACCAATTTGCAAAGTTCCCTGAGGAGACAAAACAGGATGCTAAACAAGTTTTGCACCAATAATGCAGATAAACCCAGAGAGTTGTATCTGGTGTTGGTCATACTCGGCGTAAGCCCACCTTCAAATATATAAAGAGCTGTCACATGGAAGATGGAGCAGGCTTGTTTTCTCTTCCTCCAGAGGGGAGGACAAATTACAAGAAAGCATTCAAATTACACAAAAGGAGATTCTG